AAATACAGTCTCACCTTCCTTCTGTGGCGACCTTGACAACGTCAACCTTGTTGCCAGCCATGGCTATCTTGGTGATGGCCTCAATAGCGTAGTCACTCTGGAGTATCAGATCCCCCTAAAAGACAGACATACTTAACAACGGTCCAACCACAGGCATCGTTGCTCAATGGATCTATCAAAATATCACTGACGCTGATTCTAGGAATGGATTTTATCGAGGGAGAAAGTTGTGTTTGTTGCTTCATTGATTGATGCCACACTTGAACTATGAAATAAAGGAAATAATTGAGTCTGGACCAGGCAATCCAGCGATTGGATCAGACATTCGAGAGATTCATGTTGTAGGCAGAAACCCATGCCATACGGGTCTGATGACCAAATCACGGTGCTTGACATCCGATCCATTTATCATATGTCACTTCTTACAACCACATAGGTTGCTGGGGGCCAGTGCTAACCCTAAATCTTCAAGGGGTATTTCCTTATGGGGGAATCAGAAAATGGGGATAGGCAATGTTTGATGGGGAGAATTGTACAGTGCTAACAGGCTGAGAATTACGATCAGGGCAAATCTGGGATTTAAACCCTGGACAGTGGATCCTGACACAGGTAAGGAACACAACTCTCTATAACAAATGTGGCATCTCACATCACTGTGCAACATGGCTGGGAGACCGAAGAGCGAGTGAGTGAATATGGTTTTACGCCGCTTTTAGCAATATTCCAGCAATATCACGGCGGGGGACACCAGAAATGGGCTTCACACATTGTACCCATGTCGGGAATCGAACCCGGGTCTTCGGATTGACGAGTGAACGCTTTAACCACTAGGCTACCCGACCGCCCCTGGGAGACCGAAAAAGTGTATGGTGGCTGAGAAACAATGGGTTGGGTCATAAAGATTAGCTTCAGTGATGCTCGGATACATCCATTGGAATGTTATATATGGTCAAGCAGCCACACTTCGAAGCAGGTGATACATGCTCTTAATCTTATATACATTGTAAGAAAGTGTTAATGTTAATTTGCACTTATGACAGAAACTGCCAGGAAAGAATTGTTATGAAGCTTTGTACAAAGATGATTGAGTGAAAGAATGTTAATTGAAAACCTGCTGACATGCATATAGGTAGCTGAAGATGGCAATATTTGTTTGTTTGTTGTTAAATGCTGCACTCAGCAATAGTCCAGCTGTATGACAGCGGTTTGGAAATAATTGAGTCTGAACCAGACAATCCAGTGATTGACATCATGAGCATTGATCTAAGCAATTGGAATACGATGACATGCATCAACCAAGTCGGCGACCTTGACTACCCAATCCCATTAGTCGCCTCTTATGACAAGCATGGATTGCTCAAGCCCAATTCTAACCAAGAATCTGAAGATGGCAATGATGACAATGTGTCTAACAAAGGTCAGCTACTCATGGAAACATTACATCTTTTCACCGACAACAATAGAATTGATTCTTCTCTGGGATGTAGAAAGACCAATATTACAACATGCAACAACCAAGGCTGACACGACACTGGGACAAGTGCAAGAAGATTGGTGGCCAAAAACTGAATCCTGCCTAGGTACTCAAAGACAATTTGAGGACAAGTGTGGAGGCAGGTGCGAAGAAGTGTGAGGGGGAAAGGCTAGGGGACAGGTGTGAGGGGGTGTGAGGTGAGGGGACAGGAGTGAGGGGGGGACAGGAGTGAGGGGGGAAAGGTGAGGGGACAGGTGTTGAGGACAGGTGTGGTGGGGGGAGGTGATGGGAAAAGGTATGAGGGATGAAGGTGTGTGTGTGTGGGGAGGGGTGAGACAGTTGTGAGGGGGGAAAGGTGAGGTGACAGGTGAGGGGACAGGCGAGGGGACAGGTGAGGGGACAGGCGAGGGGAAAGGTGAGGGGACAGGTGTGAGGGGGTGTGAGGTGAGGGGACAGGTGTGAGGGGGTGTGAGGTGAGGGGACAGGAGTGAGGACAGGTGTGGTGGGGGGAGGTGATGGGGAAAGGTATGAGGGATGAAGGGGGGATGATGAGACAGGTGTGAGGGGGGAACGGAGGGGACAGGCGAGGGGACAGGTGAGGGGACAGGCGAGGGGACAGGCGAGGGGACAGGCGAGGGGACAGGTGAGGGGACAGGTGAGGGGACAGGCGAGGGGACAGGTGAGGGGACAGGCGAGGGGGCAGGTGAGGGGACAGGCGAGGGGACAAGCAAGGGGACAGGTGAGGGGACAGCTGAGGGGACAGGCGAGGGGGCAGGTGAGAGAACGAGCATGGACAGATGTAAAACAAGTAGACGTAGTAAAGACAACAAAGAAACATGAAAAAAGCCGAAACAAAGCATGTCCACAGGCACGGTAAGACATAAAGCAGTTGAATAACACAACATCTTCCACGCCAGGTCCAAGAGTACATGCAAGAGTAGCTTAGCTAATGAAACAAAGGAAGCAGGCACAAGCGTAGGTCAAATGTTGCAGGTGTAATAAGATTATCTACAGCAGTTCATGCAGACATATGAAGCATCAGATGAGAAATGTTCTACATTTAAATCATATCCAAACCAAACAAAAATATAACAGTATTTGTGAAAGTATCCAAATTGCCTCTGTTGAACTTAACAACATTGGAATTGGGCGTTGTAGAATAAAACAAACTAAACATATTTCCAAACTAAAATTCCATATCAACACTGATATAGCAGCAGTTCATTCCAGCATGTAATCTAGGCCTCCATGTCTTTCAATGGCCTTTCTCCATGCAACACTAGTTGGACAATATCGCGGCTCAAACCTTGTGGGCCTCCGTGTCATCATCCTCCGGTTCACACTTAGTGGACATAAATATGGAAGTTGTAAATATCCAAGGAAATAATGACATTATCATAAGTTCCATAAGACATTATACGATAACCTACCTCAGATAACACGCTAATGTAGCAAGGGAGATAACTGATGACAAGTACCATATTCCATCTGTCATAGTTATATTGTCATACACTACCATAATTAGGCAGGAAACATGAAGACAAACACAATTTTTTTCATTTGTTGGTTCGCAAACAAATATGTGAAAATTCAGGGTCTGTAGGTGGGAATGAGAAATAATATCAAGATTTTTATATTTTATTCTTCAAGATGTTATTTAAATAAAGAATTGAGTGTCTTTTGATATCAATTATATCAACACAAGTTGATAAAAGTGGAAAAAATCCAAAGCCTGTAGAGGAGTTTTTCCACTTTTATCAACGAGTGTTGATATATTTGATATCAAAAGACACTCGGGTGAGATTTTTTTTATCATCCAACATCATTCTTCCAACTTTTTCAATTTGTAGACAGTAATAAGCAGTGTCTTAAGTGTAAAAAGTACTGCTAACAGCTTCAGTAGCAGAGCCATTAGTGATGTCATTTGATTGTGACATCATGGTAACCAATGACGTCACAATGGTCTGCAAAGCATTGTGATGCAATTTCATTGCAGCGATATCTACAATGTAGATATCGCTTGATCTCACCCAAGCGATATCTCCCGTGGGATACAGTTTGGGATGATAAACATAGTTGGTCTGGTACTGATTCTAGTCATTCATTAAATATAATGTTTAAATATTGATATTTACACAAATGAATTCTCTTGACCAATTGATCAGGCTGAATATGGTACTTGGTTGTTTATAAGTGAGTGAGTGAGTGAGTTGATTTAACGCCGCTTTTAACAGTATTCCAGTTATATCACGGCGTGTCAGCTTGTGGATGGAAAGCCCGAAGTGATGCAGGTCTCAGACGTTTACCACTTTGGTGAAACCCACGAGCACGGGTATGGTGCTGACAAACCTAGAAACATAATTGGGGCGAACTGGGATTCGAACCCACAATCATAGGTTTCTGGCGTGCCCAAGGGACGCAACTCTGCACAGCAAATCGCGGCGCCTTAGACGACTGGGCCACCCATGCCCCTTGGTTGTTTATAAACAATGGTCACAATTTAAATGCTACATCTGTAACAAAGTGCAACAAGACATACGCTATGTATCTATAGGTACGCAGGATCACACGGGACTGGGAGCACACCTAATCATCATCACACATTACATCCATCTTACAGAGGCATCAACTACAAGAAACAAGAACTTGTCAGAGATTAAACTAAACAATTCTTCAAGGATGGCATTTACTTCATATCTATATAAATATTTTAAAACTTCCCAACTTAGGGTTCAAGAAAGAGAAATTTGTTCTACCTTTGACCCGTTCTCTGCGAGTGAGACGACCACGACAAACAAACCGTCAGTGTAGGGGCTGGCGTGGATTCCTGCAGCGGAAACAGACATACTACATGTTCGGATTAAAAAACAACCATATCTTCTTGTGAATAAAGCACACTTTCCAAAAAGATTGGCAGCTGTGGAGGGGATATGTTTTTGATACATGCAGATAATTAGTTTCGAATTTTATAAATGTTCTAAAACATTCCCGCCTGCATGGAATACTAGAAATAGCATGTATTTCTGGTTTAAAGATTTGAATCCAATTCTAAGAATTTCTTTAAAATTTACATTGATCTCCTCATCAAGTTTGTTTGGTTTTGCCGTTCCATACTGAAATACCATGCCACAGTTTAACATGGATAACCCACTCAGACACAGTATATTGACGCTCTACCACTAGATCATGAGACAAGTCTCAGGGCAGAGGCTCTGTCCACAAGACCACAGAGGCAGTCTCCGGGCAGACGCTCTATCCACTAGACCACGGAGGCAGTCTCCGGACAGACGCTCTATCCACTAGACCATGGAGGCGGTCTCCGGGCAGACGCTTTATACACTATACCACAGAGGCAGTCTCCGGGCAGACGCTCTATACACTAGACCACGGAGGCAGTCTCCGGGCAGACGCTCTATACACTAGACCATGGAGGCGGTCTCCGGGCAGACGCTCTATACACTAGACCATGGAGGCGGTCTCCGGGCAGATGCTCTATACACTAGACCACAGAGGCAGTCTCCGGGCAGATGCTCTATACACTAGACCACAGAGGCAGTCTCCGGGCAGATGCTCTATACACTAGACCACAGAGGCAGTCTCCGGGCAGACGCTCTATACACTAGACCATGGAGGCGGTCTCCGGGCAGACGCTCTATCCACTAGACCATGGAGGCAGTCTACGGGCAGACGCTCTATACACTAGACCATGGAGGCGGTCTCCGGGCAGATGCTCTATACACTAGACCACAGAGGCAGTCTCCGGGCAGATGCTCTATACACTAGACCACAGAGGCAATCTCCGGGCAGATGCTCTATACACTAGACCACAGAGGCAGTCTCCGTGCAGACGCTCTATACACTAGACCACGGAGGCGGTCTCCGGGCAGACGCTCTATACACAAGACCACAGAGGCAGTCACCGTGCAGACGCTCTATACACTATACCACAGAGGCAGTCTCCGGGCAGACGCTCTATACACTAGACCACTGAGGCAGTCTCCGTGCAGACGCTCTATCCACTAGACCACGGAGGCGGTCTCCGGGCAGACGCTCTATACACTAGACCACGGAGGCGGTCTCCGGGCAGACGCTCTATACACTATACCATGGAGGCGGTCTCCGGGCAGATGCTTTATACACTAGACCATGGAGGCGGTCTCCGGGCAGAGGCTCTGTCCACTAGACCATGGAGGTGGTCTCCGGGCAGATGCTCTATACACTAGACCACGGAGGCAGTCTCCGGGCAGACGCTCTGTCCACTAGACCACGGAGGCAGTGTCCCTCAAATGGAGGACTAGTGAGTGAGTGAGTTGAGTTTAACCCTGCTTTTAACAGTATTGTAGTTATATCACGGCGTGTCAGCTTGATGTGGGAGGAAAGCCCGAAGTGATGGAGGTCTTAGACGTTTACCACTTTGGTGAAACCAACGAGCACAGGTTTGGTGCTGACAAACCTAGAAACATAATCAGGCTGAACCGGGATTCAAACCAACAAACATAGGTTTCTGGCGTGTCCAAGGGACGCAACTCTGCACAGAGAATTGCTGCGCCTTAGACGACTGGGCCATCCGTGGCCCCAAATGGAGGACTAAGTGTATACAGTCATTCTAACACCAATCAAGACTGATAGTTACGGTACCTGTTATTTGAGAGTAGGACAGTTTGTCCTTCACCTTGAAGTCCTTCTCGTTAAGAACATAAACATTCTTGTCTGTGACGATGAGGATTCTTGCTCGCTGCTTGTAACCATGACGATCATACTTGCTGACTGCTGCACAATACTGGAACACCACAAGTACGAGAGTAAGCAGGGTTAATCCACATAATCAGGGAAACATGATGTACACTGAAACCCTGTGTCTCTGTAAAACTAAATAAATATTAATAAGCACCAATGACCAATTGCTGGACACTAAAGATGATTTCACTGGGAATAGTACTTGGAATCTGTTTCACTGTGCTTGTGATTGTGTGTTCGAAGCTGCAATATTCCAGATATAGGACAGCAGCCTGCTATTAATCGAGTCTGGACCAGACAAGCCAGTGATTGATGTTATGAGCAGCGGTCCATGCCATCGGGGTAGGTTGACAAGCATCAATGAAGTCTCTGAGCCCTACCACCTGATCTATCAAGTCAACTCTTATGACCAGCATTGGTTCCAAGAGGCAAAGTCTAGCCTGGTGAGGTGAGGTGAAATTGGGTTTAATGTCCCGTCTAAGATTATTGCACTTATATAGTGACGTGCATGCGTGTGTGTGTGTGTGGCTGCTTGTACTAGTCCGGACTGATGCCGATTCATAGTGCTAGCTCACTGAGATACCAAGCCGCAGTTTAACATGAATACTGTTACTGTATACTGACTCCGAGCCGATCAGTCCTTGTTTTAGCCCCTTAATGCCGAGCACCAGACAGGGTAACAAGTACCATCATCTAACGTCTGTTGGTATGACGCGGCCGAACCTCCCGCTCTCCGGGTAGACGTTCAACCACTACACCACAGAGGCAGTCAATTCTAGCCTTGAATCCCCAAGGGTTTATTGTACATTTTAACAGGCAGCTTCTATTTGTTCATGTTAAAAGTTACCACGCAGTTTTTGTAAAAATGGAAATCTAAACGTTGTTGTAGGTTTCAAGTCACCACTTGGCCTACTGAGCTACAATGCACAAAACCTATCACGGATAGTTGTCGTGAAGATGAAACAGTCCCATATATGTACCTTTGTTTCGGGGAGTCTACCATTGAAGTTGATACCAACTACCAGGAAATATGTAAAGTGTTTAATGTATAGTGATTACATTTTTCAGATGAAGATCCGGGGTAGAATATGTCTTCAGCAACCCATGCTTGCCGTAAAAGGCGACTATGCTTGTTGTAAGAGGCGACTAACAGGATCGGGTGGTCAGACTGCTGACTTGGTTGATGCATGTCATGGTATCCCAATTTCGTGGATCGATGCTCATGTCAATCACTGGATTGTCTGATCTAGAATCAATTATTTACAGACCGCCATCATATAGATGAAATATTGCTGAATGCGGCGTTAAACAACAAAAAAATAATAAAAATTTCAGAACAATTTTCATTGCTCACTTTCTAGGAATCTGTAGAGGATCTTATTACGAGTGTGAAAAGATGCTACACACAATATGTCAGGATAAATGCCAAGGCAGAAATATTTTTTTTGTAAAATGCAGAAATGAGAATTTTCTTTTAATGATGCCTAAGGCCAGGAATATTTTAAACGTAAGCTCAGCCACCTACCCTGACTGTCTCATTGGGCTGCTTCAGGTTGATGTCGAACATCCCACTCTTCAGCGACTCGTGGTGGGCAGCTGCAGAACCAAAAGCTTAGTAAATCACAGTTTTCAAAAAATCGGAAGGGCTTTATGATGAAGTGAGGTGACGCGTAATACAGCCCTGAGTGAGTGAGGTTTTACAACGCTTTTAGTGAGTGAGTGAGTATGGTTTTACGCCGCTTTTAGCAATATTCCAGCAATATCACGGCGGGGGACACCAGAAATGGGCTTCACACATTGTACCCATGTCGGGAATCGAACCCGGGTCTTCGGCGTGACGAGCAGACGCTTTAACCACTAGGTTACCCGACCGCCCCCCACAACGCTTTTAGCAATATTCCAGTCCCAAAAGGGCTGTACTTTAAGATCAAGTTTTACTATCAAGCAACATTACTGTAAGCCAATGGTACTTTGTAAGAATTAGAGTGAGCAAGTGAGTATGGTTTTATGCCGCATTTAGCAATATTCCAGCAATATCACGGCGGGGGACACCAGAAATGGGCTTCACACGTTGTACCCATGTGGAAATCAAACCCAGACATAGCAAGTCTTGTTACAGGAATAAACCTCCATTTTGTTGGTGTTCTCTAAAATCTGGGGTCCGTATATTGTGGTGTAAACTATTGTCAGATAACTGTATATCAGTGAGTGAGTGAGTGAGTGAGTGAGTGAGTGAGTGAGTGAGTGAGTATGGTTTTACGCCGCTTTTAGCAATATTCCAACAATATCACGGCGGGGGACACCAGAAATGGGCTTCACACATTGTACCCATGTCGGGAATCGAAACCGGGTCTTCGGCATGACGAGCGAACGCTTTAACCACTAGGCTACCCGACCGCCCTGGCTAAACAAAGGCATACATGGACATGTATCTCACCCAGTCGGCTGTCAATGAAGGGGTCCTTCACACTGAAGGGGTACGACTCCTTCTTTCCCTTGAACAACTTCTCTGCTACAACCTTCTGCTGGAACTGAACGACAAGTCCTTCATCAATACAGGTCATCCAAATTCATTAAAGTTAATGAACAAACAAACCAACACTAGTTTGTTTAGAAAAAACTTAAACAAGAGTCATCAGAAAGATGACATATCCCTCCAGCAGCTGTCTGTAAAGTAACCACAAGTAAATGTGCAATTATGAATGTAATGAGTCAAGAGTTGAATGTTCTTGAAGAAGCATACATTGCTTATCCACAAAAGATCCACCATGGTCGCATCCATATGAAATGGAAAGTAAAACAAGTGTGTTTCTGTGTTGTTGTTTTATGCAACCAAATGACAAATTACAAGAAACAATAACAAAACAAGCGTATAGTAGACAAAGTCATCTATATCCCCCGCCCATTGGTAACCAGGTAACTGACCCAACATTTCTCTTAGCCCATGTTAAAATAGCTGCAATGGAAATTCTAAAATAAACATTTCTAAAACTCCATAATATCAAATGTCACCAGTTCAGTATGTGCTTTATATATAGACATGCAATGTTTGGCAAGAAAATATTTAACAGTTTATTTGTTATACTCCATAAGTGAACCCACCCTATATTAAAACTTAAATCCAACTTATTGCCATGGAAACGTAAAAAATAAAAATTTATAAAATTTATAAATAGCAAAAGGCACCAGTTCAGCATGAGTCTGATAGACATGCAAAGTTTGGTAGAGAAATATTTAACTGTTTCCGAGTTATGCTCCGGAAACAATTTTGGGACGCACGCACGCACACACACGGACGGACGGACGGACGGAACCCATTATATATATATATATATATATATATATATATAATTATATATATAATTACCTGAAATTTCCTCTCCGCTGAGATTTTCTTCACATACTTGAGAACCATGTTCCTCATGCACAGCTTGTTTAGGATTTGTGACGTCTGACAGAGAAAGAACAAAATTCTTATCATTTGATGAAAAAAGTCCCCAACCGGTGGTACTGTAAGATCAAGTTTTACTATCAAGTAACATTACTGTAAGCCAATGGTATTTTGTAATAATTACAGTGAGTGAGGTGAGGTGAAATGGGGTTTAACGTCGCGTCCAAGATTATTGCACTTATATAGCGACGTGCATGTACGTGTGTGTGTTTGTGTGGCTGCTTGTACTAGTCCGGACTGATGCCGATTTATAGTGCTAGCACAATGAGATACCATGCCGCAGTTTAACATGAATACCCCACTCAGACACAGTATACTGACTCCGAGCCGACCAGTCCTTGTTTTAGCCCCTTCATGCCGAGCGCCAGACAGGGTAACAACAAGTACCATCTTTTAACTGGGGACATCAGAAATGGGCTTCACACATTGTACCCATGTCGGGTATCGAACCCAGGTCTTCGGTGTGACGAGCGAATGCTTTAACCACCAGGCTACCCGACCACCCGGTAAGAAGGGGTGGACAGTTTTTTATCCAAGTTGCAAAATAAATCATTTCAGGGTTATGACAAATTCCATGATTCAGAAACACAGACAACTACGGTTGATCAAATGTTTTGAGACCAATTTGAATGACATGTTAATATTTAAAAAAAAAATAATCTAGAATCTGTACTTTACCAATAAAGTGTTCTCCCAAATATAACATTTTTTATGTTAATATTAGTTGTCCAAGTATTACTCAGGAGCAAGCGAAATTCTATGCTAAGTAAGTGATTCAAGAAATGGAGAGGGTGACATCACTTCCCAAACAAAGCTATGGAGGTAAATGGGTCCAGGGTTCTTATCTTAATATAATGGAGATATGATACACTGGACAACCCAGGATGAGATGGAAGAAGTGTATTGTATCACCTCCACAAGCAGTTCCGGCGGTCGCGGCCACTTCTTGTCCAAGACATTTTTCGGGAGGGTTTGACGTAGGCGCTGTAGATAGTTGACTTTGGTGTATTTGATGAAGTCTCGGTTCTCCTCACATGCTGGCTTCTTGCGGAGGATGAAGCCCTTGATAAATCTGCAACAGTGAGAGAGTGAGTTGGGTTAAACTCCACTTTGAACTGTCAAGATCTGTAGAGAAATACGCAAGTTTGAGAGGATATATACATTGCGTAAGTATACAGTGTTGTTCTAGTATTTGCTTACTGAAACAAGGCAAAATTAACTGGGTCATGATGATCTATTCTGTATTTTATGCAAACTCTGGAACTCTGCAGAATAATATGAAGACCACAGTTCACTAAAATAAAAGAATTGGTTCTCAGGCAATGACTTTTAAAAACATAGTGTGATCAGGCAGTGTTTTTTTGTTGTTTTTTTGGTTTGTTCAAACTAGTAAGTAACTGAATGCCATATTACATTGCATTGTTTTTAAGTATTAGGATTTAAAAAAAATAAAATTTAAATTGAAATAAAAACGAAATGTGCGGCAGGATTTATGATGATGCGAGCGGTGCCTGAGAACCAAGACTATTATTTTTTTTAGCCTAAACGAAAGAAGATCAGTGCAGACATTTTTGAATATAATGTTGTAATTGGGAATTAAAATTCCCACAATACTTGTGTGTAATTATTTGAGTATGTTCTAACAATGTTCCACATTCTTTTCAAAAGTAGAGGAGAAAGGCCAAAATTTGTGGGCCAGTAGGACTGGGATGGGTGGTGACTCACTTCCTGAGTGCCTGCACAGCCCACTTCCTCCTCTGCAGCAGCCTCTGTGCCGCCACACGGCGCCAGTGACACTGCAGCAATATGGCTGAAACACAGCAACTAGAGAGTGAGTGAGGTGAGATGGAAAAAAACACATTAAAAACAGTGGTGTTTTTTTATTCCACCAACCATACAAGTATTAGAAAAATGCATGTTGGGAAGGGGAAATGTGAAAAAAGAACACACTCTGAAAAATAGGAAGAGTGAGTGAGGGAGTCGAGCCCACGTCTTCGGCGTGACGAGCGAAACTCTTTAACCACTAGGCTAACCACCGCCCCAAAACTTGGACAGAATGAAAAACAGTAGATTTTGAAAAGTGTAGTTTCAAGAACCTATTATTGCATCCAACAGCCAATCAAGACAATTTATTTGTTGATATTTCATCCCTATTCCTCCACCCCAACCTTTTTTCCCAATACCTAAACATCTGGAGGAAACAAAAAAATATTTCAAATTAAAACTTTTTGTTTTCATTTCAACCAACCGACCAAACTTTGGGGCTAAAATTCCATAAACCAAAAACAGAAGACGAAAATGTGGTTTATAATTTTCCAAACTGCTTTCCATTTAAAAACTAAGAACTTTGTAACATGGCACTCACCACTAACTCTCCACTGCAGGTACTTCTTCCTCTGTGCATAGCCTTTGTAGTTGGACTGGATGATGGTGGCTGTGGGAGGGAACATGGCACCAAGTCAGACTCAAACAATGGCAAAAGTGAGCGTGGCTCACTAATACCCCCGACCCGCCTAGTGTGTCAGTAGTTTCAAATTAAATAGCTAGGATAGGGTTAGGGTTTGAAAAATTCATAAAAAAATGGAAAATTAATAAAAACATTTTTTTTCTTTTGGCTGCATCCCTCCATATGACACGGATTATATGTACTAAGTTTGAGATGAATCCACTGAATAGATTAAGATAAATCGAGCGGACAAAGTTTTCAGATGGATAGACGGACGGACAGAACCTTGGTATAACTATATACCCCCGACCTTAATACCACATTATTAAACAGTCATACATAACTGGATATTACGCTCGTTGAGACGCCCAACACTAACACCGTATTCTTGCGTGCTCGATTCCTGTGCAACCTTTCGAGTTGAGTTGATTGGTTCAACTGTGTCATATGGCCCTTTGACGCAGGGGTATCATTATGCAGATGGCCGTTTCAATGAATGCTCGAAATATCAACGAACAGGTCTGGTTGTTGATGAAATATAGTGATAGCTAAATAGACAGATTTTTTATTCATGCACCGATTGTCTTTAAATGTAATATCCAGTTATGTATGACTGTTTAATAATCTCATACCAACTTTGACTAGAGTAGGTCCGATAGTTTTTCAGATATTGTAGTAAACGTCGGTACCTTAAATTACCTTCCAGACTATACAAGGCTAAAGATTCCTCCATTGCACACAGTGATCCAACACTATCATAGATCTATATTTGAGCTTTTTAATGGTTTTAAATCTTAACTAATCCTCTCATTTGACAACTAGCAGATCCAGAAGTCAGGGTAGGTAACTCTGTCGTGTCACTTTCACCTGCAGTAACAGCACAACAGGGAACACGCTATCTTTATCTATAAACTTTTTACACTTCTTGTTGTTTACGATAAGCTTAATTCTTACCAATGTCATGTTTTCTGACTTGAAAGGCATCCTCGGTGGCAAATAAGACACGGGGGAATCGGATGAACAGTTTTGACCTGAGAAAAATGCAAAACATTATGAAAGAGTGAGTGAGTTGGGTTTAACACTGCTTTGAACAGCATTCCAGTTATATCAAGGTTTCAGCTATTTACTTGATTATTTACAGACAGCAATCAAACAGCTGGAATATTACGGAGTGCTGGGGGTAAACAACAAACAAACATACACTAGTACTACCATAACTAGAACATTGCTGTCATTCACTGGATTGTTCGGTCCAGACTCAATTATTTACAGACCATCACAGTGCTGCATAAGAAACAAACAGACAAACAAACAAACAAACAAACAAACTCTGTGGTACGTACTTGCCCATTCTGTAGTCGTCTTCCTCATATTTCAGGTACCGCACCAGCATCGCTACTCCATTCTTGGCTGTTCCATGATACGTCGGCCACGTGGAGGGACACAAGCACTTATACCTGGCAAGGGTTGAAGGGGGACATTATTAGTGTGATGATCAATTAATGTAAAACATTAACTTAAAACACATTATGTGCATCAAACATTACATAATGTTTAGACACAAAATACAAAATACTTTTTGATTATGAAGACAATATTACAGAATGAATGAATATCTACTTGGTGGGTCTTCCATGCATTCAAAGGGAGATAATTAGTGAAGTCACGACCGAGTTATTTCCCATATTCCACAACATGAACAAAAACCTCCTTGATTACATTATAATATTGATTCATATCCTAGAGTACAATTTCTTAAACGACTAAGCTCCCAGTCTAAATCAGATATTGTAATTGCATCATGAGAAACAGGCATTGTTACTTTGTCAATAGGGGATTCATTAACATTTTCCCGAGGCAAAGGCGGCATCTGACTATAAAAGTTCAGTTTCCACCCTTGCCAAACCAGACTGGAATTATGGAGTTAGATTATGGCTGGACTAACGAGTCTAAGCAAAGTGCAATCAAAATCACTTCGTAAACTGCTGTGCAGATTTTGGTCGATTGCAGGATTTCCAAAGCATTTTAGGCCAACTCAGTGTCCACAGTGGGCGCAGCTATTTTTGAAGCAAATGCAAGTGGTATGACAGGTGGAATCAGACTGGTTAGTAGGAGGGACATAGAAGGGATATAACTCATAATAGCCACTGGTGGTGATCAGACATTCGAGCCTAGTTTGGCAAGGGTGGAAACTGGACTTTTATAGTCAGTTAATTCCCTTGCCTCAGGAAGATGCATATATACATGAAGTATTTTGAGTAAACAAAGTATTGTTTGAGGGACTTCAACCATCTTGATAGGACAGAGAGTTTGCCATAGCTTAATCTGTGTTTTAATCAAGACAAAGTAAAACTCACCTCTTAAGGAATACCTCGTATGGTCTCCTGTAGGCGAAGCCAGCTCGCCTGACGCGGAGGTTCTCCATCAGACCCAGGTACTTCACCTGGTGGCTGACGATGCGGTCATCATACACACCTGCAACCAACACACAACATGGTTCACACACAACTCAGTCTCCACATTTAGGCCTCTAAAGTTTTTTTTCCATACTCAAGCAACAATAGAAAACCACAATACACTGATATTGTGTTGACTATATATTAAATGTAATTGTATATCACACTTTCCAATAACACCTCAAATGCAGTTAAACCATGATAAATCGCATATTGCCCCGTTCACTGGATCAGTGTGACCTTGATTTTCATTCTCAGCTCCCTGGAGAGTATACAACCCAAGCCACTATAAGGTTAACAGCCACATAGCATTCTCATCCTACCTGGTACCCATTGAATGATGGGTGAACAGAGGCATATTTCGAAGGTCACCACATGTTCTTCAGTGCGGGACAGGACTGAAAACCTAGAAACTATTTTCTGCGACCAACATTGCTTAACTTAACCTGATCTCGGACCTGTACGCTTTGCATGGGACCACGCGGCACCACGTAATATCATAGAATGCACAACATAGAACGGCAGGTATCTTATGACTGATAATTAGGCAGCGTTCCTGTTTACCGGTAATTACCAGCTTTTTACCAGTGAAATTAGGCTTGGACTGGTAATTCATGTGACTGCCAGTCCCTGTGGACCGGCAAATAAAGTACCTTAGAAATTTTTGTTGTTGAACAAAACATCGGTGATATTCATATAAGTACATTTTTCAAACAAAGTCAGCTTGTCTGTTACCATCAGGGTTTCCCCTTGTCTTTTTCTAGGTTAATTATCCATTTTGTAGCGACTTCGTCTAGAAATATTTAAAAAAAAGAAGAGAAAATTGTGACTGAAGTTAGTGTGAATGACGTATAGACCTAACTAAGTTACTTCTGAGATGACATCTTTGCACTGAACATTATGTTGAAAGAATTGAAACCAAAGAATTTTCATTTTTTCTATTATTTGTTGAAAGTTGGGACTGGCAAAAATTAGGGGAGACTGGTAATTTTTAAAGTTGCTAGTCCCCAAGGACTGGCAGTTACAAAAGCCAGCGGGAACACTAAAGTATGAAAAACATCAATGAACCTATGGATAAAATGTGTAAAAAGTTACATACCTGGCTGCTTGAAGTCATTAGGTTTGACACAGCGGACGTACGACGGTTCCTTAGACATCAGAATATCCATCAACTGGGCCAGGCTGGTCTTGAACTGGGTCGCTGCCTGGCACAGATAACAGACATCGGTTGTTTGTTTGTTTGTTTGTTTGTTTGTGGTTTAACGCCATACTCATCAATATTTAAGCTATGACAGCAGTCTGTAAATAATCGAGACCAGACAATCCTGTGATTGATACCATGTACATAGATCTACATAACTGGGATACGATGACACGCATCAACCAAGTCAGTGAGCCTGCAAAAGCATGTATTACTAACCCAGATCTTCAAGTGGAATGGATATTGAGACTTGGCTGGTTTTTGGTTGGTTTGTTGTGTAACACCGCACTCAGCAATATTCCAGCTATATGATGGCGGTCTGTAAATAATCGAGTCTGGACAAGACAATCCAGTGTTTGATATCATGAGCATCGATCCACGCAATTAGGATCAGTGACATGTATCAACCAAGTCAGCGAGCCTGACTACCCGATCCCGTTGATTGCCTTTTACGACAAGCATAGTCACTGTTTACGGCAAGCATTGGTTGCTGAAGACCTATTCTACCCCGGAATCTTCACGGGTCTTGGTTTAGCACTACTTCGAACATGTTATGGCATGGCAGAGTCCTGTGGGAGGAAAGCTTAAAGTGATGCAGGTCTTGGACTTTCCTACTCTCCTACCCAGAGTTCCATGCGGCCGGCAGCTAGCTAGCATAGTACCTCTGCCACAGGCCAGCGCCATGTGACGATTCGTCACATCTTTCACAGTCCATTCAAGATATTGCATATGCTGTTCATCCGTTTCATTTTTGACAAGCTTTTACATTGTGGTAAACAAATGTCAAAGAATGGTTACGGTTCATTAAGAAAGTATCCTAAAACGTGAAAATCTACTTGTTTTTGCGTAGTTATCCTTTGTTTACATTGGCTCCACGTGCTGTCATCGAAGCCCTACGGAGAGCTAGCGATACGGTCACTTTGATGTATAAATATATATTGTCATGCAACTCACTGTCGCAGTTGTAGTAGCATATCTATAAAATTATGCAAAACAATATGTAAAGCATATACCAAATACTTGCATTAGTCCGTTCTATACTGATTTTTGAAAAAGCGCGTTTGTTTACAAACAAGAGAAAAGTCCAGTCACGTGATATGCAAATTAGCCTGTGGCAGTGGTGTTATGCTGAGTCACCACTGCGATGGAGTTTAACGCTGCACTCAGCAATATTTCAGCTATATGACGGCGGTCTGTAAATAATCGAGTCTGGACCAGACAATCCAGTGATTAATATCATGAACATTGTTCACAGCAATTGGGATCGATGACATGCATCGACCAAGTCTGCGAGCCTGACCACCCAATCCCGTTGGTCGCCTTTTACGACAAGCATAGTCAACTTTTACGGCAAGCATGGATTGCTGAGGACCTATTCTACCCCGGAATCTTCACGGGTCGTGGTTTAGCACTACTTCGAACATGGGAGGAAAGCTTAAAGTGATGCAGGTCTTGGACTTTCCCCTTTTGTTTGAAACTGGTGCAGACTGACCATGGGTCAGAATCAGGGAGCATCTGGGACTAGAACTCCAGACCAGCAGATCCTTGTGTTATGTGCAAGTAATTTTAGCATAAAACTATTCGTAGTAATTGTCAGTGGCAACAATTGATTGAACTACTAGTGAAAAAATATCAAGTGCTGTCAATCTCAGATTTAAACAGAAGTCAACGGCAGAAAGTTGAACTTTCCACAATGGGTTGAACTGGAATTAAGAGTTATCTGCCCTTGCTGTATGCATGACTATTGCAGGTGTAGCAGGGCGTGGAGTTATCCCACATATGACATCCTTAACTTGTCAGCTTGCTGACAGGGTCAACCTCTTTGGTCATGTGGACAAGGTCTCCGACCTCGGATCAGAAGGTCCGTGGTTCGGATCCCATCATGGGACTTGGAAATTTTATGGCCGCTACATTGGCACCCAACGTGGGGCTGAGCACGTCCATACTAAATTTGAGCAAAATAAGCCTCAGCACCCTACTGTGCGGCCCGGGACGTGCCTTCTGATGACGGGGGAGTAAGTAGCAGGGTGTGGAGTTATCCCACATATGACATCCTTAACTTGTCAGCTTGCTGACGGGGTCAACCTCTTTGGTCATGTGGACAAGGCGTCCAACCTTGGATCAGAAGGTCAGTGGTTCAAATCCCATCAGAGGACTTAGAAATTTTATGGCCGCATTCTAGAAGTTTCTGGATGGGACAGTTTCTTGAAGGATGGATGTCACTATATAAGAGGGACAAGGCGGCGATTCGAGGCCTTTTTTCAACCTAAATTGTTTCTAAGATACACGCTAAGTGAGTATTGGATACCAATTTGGAAACTCCAAATTCCTCCCTGATTCCAACAATTCTGGATTCAAAAATGGATACAAAAACATTCATCAGTGACAATATGATGAAAATTTGCGAACATAAATTCTGGTACCTGTTATTTACTGCTGCTGCCACTTATTTGACACATTGTATTGACTTTTCCAATTGTAAATCTAAAGCTCTGTGTTTTGATATAATTTACTGGTTATTCATTGATCATGTGTGGTCATTTACTGATTTCATAACATAGTTCCATGCGAACCAATTTCTGGGTTAACCTCTGCAATTTGAATTAGGAAATACACTAAATGAGTTTTTCTGAAGTGAGTGAGTGAGTTGGGCTTAACGCTACTTTAAACTTTTTTCCAGTTATATCGTGGCGTGTCAGCTTAGTGTGGGAGGAAAGACCGAAGTGATGCAGGTCTCAGATGTTTACCACTTCGGTGAAACCCACGAGCACGGGTATGGTGCTGACAAAATTAGAATCATAATCGTAGGTTTCTGGCGCGCCCAGGGGACGCAACTCTGCACAGCGAATTTTTCTGTAGTGACTCACTGTATCAGGCCGCTTCTTGCTCTGCAGCTCCGCGAGGGGGAAGCACTGGGACGTGATTATATTGCCGGTTTGACTCATTGCCTGAAACAAAGAAAAAACTGTCCTTATAAACAAAAACAATACTAGTTCAAATGATGGGAGTGCTTGAGAATAGTCTTTGTTTGTTGTTTACTGGCCAACATGTCTCCTGCTTCAGTTAAGAAAAATGTGGAAGAAAGTCTAATAATCATCAGTGCATTGTGGTCTAACGTTTGTTTGTAGTTTAACGACGAGCTCCGCAACATTTCCCAGCTGCAGGACAACAGACTGTAAATACTGTAAAACATGAAATTAATGCGTCTCCAAAAGAATGCGACCACTGGCCCCTAGCCAAAAATGCGACTCATTATGAATGCGACACCCCCTCCTCTCAAGCATCAGTGGATTTATATCTAAACAAAATGTCCTCTGTCAGGTTTACAGGAGAATCCTCACCTTAATCCAACTTTACATTAATCCAATCACACACCAAATAGCACCACTTATTAGCACTGAGTAGAGTACTTCAGCTAAAACAATACATGCGCGCTGGCTCGTGTCGGCCTTTGACGCAGTCGCTAAGAGCAAAGACACCGTGTTGGGTGGCGTCTGTCTGGACTTGCAGGTGTGATCAGTGATGACATGAGTGAGTAGAACGCTTGTCTTGACCCCAGCAGTGACAATTCACAGGACGTAATTAGTGTTTGAATGACATTGTTTATATACTTGTAACAAGTGCTGCTCAATAAACAGTGATGTGGAATACATAGCTGTTTGTTTTCAGCATATGTCCAAGTTGGTACTTCTGCTATCCAAAATGTCTTATTGTTGACATAAATGCGTTGTTTAAAAATGCGAGCAAAGACCACTCGCATTTTTCGCATTTAATTCACGCTCGTGTTAATATCAAGATTTACAGTAATCAAACGATCTACACCCTCGAGATATGATGACACGTCATCAACCACGTCATCCAGCCTCACCATAAGGGGGCCGGACGCACTGTAAACATTTTGGGAATCGAACCTCAGTGTTCACAGTACAGTGCTCATTTAAAAGTAAAATACTCAAATACAGACCTGCAAACATCTTTAATACCAAATTTTGCATCTGTTTGTCACCATGACGATTACCCACCTCTTTTAAATCCCGATAGAGCAGGTTGTTGTTCTTATCCAGAAACCCTCGCACGTTGTACGTCACATGACCTGCATAGTGGATTAACCGGAACTCCTGAAGTCAAGAAATCATGAGGTGAGGTGAGGTGAGGTGAGGTGAGGTGAGGTGAGGTGAGGTGAGGTGAAAAGGGGTTTAACGTCAAGTTCAAGATTATTGCACTGACAGAGTGACATACATTCACATGTGTGTGTGTGGCTGCTTGTACTAGTCCAGACTAATGCCAATTTTATAGTCCTAGCCGACTGAAATACCATGCCGCAGTTTATCATAAATACCCCACTTAGACACAGTATACTGACTCCGAGCTGGACAGTCCTTGTTTTAACCCTTTAATGCCGAGGTCTAGGGAGGGTAACAACAAGTACCATGTCTTTTGGTATGACGTGGCCAGGGTTCAAACCCCTGACCTTCCGGTCTCCAAGCAGATGCTCTACCACTAGACCACAAGTCGGAGTCTGAGCACCCAATCCATTTAGTCGCCTCTTATGACAGGCATAGGTTGCTGGGCCCTAGTATTATTACCCAGAATCCCCATGGATTGAAACCAATGGTCAAATGTATGCCTTTCGTCATAATCACATTACACTGAAAATTACACATAATTGTATCTTGTTTTAATTGAAGGCATTTGGCTAAATGATTCGGTAGGTCAAAAAATATATATACATAATTCTTCACCACAATTACACATACGTCTTCAGTGTCCATCCAATCAGATACTATTCACACTCGTCATGATTACCGGTAGGTCAAAACTCAGACTTAAACCGAAGGTCATGGGACCATTACACAAGGGACACAACTCTGCACAGACACATGTGGTGCCTAAGACAATTGGACCACTAGTGCTTCAACCACCTTATGAAATCACAACAACGCCTTTAAAGACCGATCACCACCAGTTTCAAATGAGCTTTTCAGGTATCAAATACTGAACAACAACTGCAAAACGTCTAGCGTTTACTCAGTGAATGTGGTGTGGGAGGCGGTACACCTACATCTCTCTGTATGGTTTTCCTGGTGGTGGCGTCTGCTGTTTTATGACTAATGAAGTGGGGATGGGTGCCGATTGTCTCCGTTAGTTTCTCCAGTAACGTCAGGTCAGTCGGATCTCCGGGTCGAAGACATTCCTCATCCTGTAACAATGAACAACAAACCACGTGGCAACAAACAAAACGATATGAAAAAATTACCAACTAGCTTTAAGCCAAATTCCATCAAAACCACGGCGGGTAAAGTTTCACACATTGCGCTGATGTGGGGAATCGAACCTCCAGCTTCGATGTGATGAGCAAATACCTCAACCACTAGGCTACCCTATTGTCCAACCTACAAACCCAAAACTTAAACCTACCAAATAGAGTATTCATTTGACATTTAAACACAAGTTTTAGCTATGCAATCTCTTCAGAAATGTAAAAATAAACTCTAATTATCTGTATCCCTGTGTTATGGGTTCTCGGACGCTTTAGAGTGAGTGAGTGAGTAGGTTTGGTTTAATGCCGCTTTTAACATTATTCCAGTTATATCACTGCGTGTCAGCTTAGTGTGGGAGGAAAGCCCGAAGTGATGCAGGTCTCAGACGTTTACCACCTTGGATGAAACCCACGAGCACGGGTATGGTGCTGACAAACCTAGAAACATAATCGGGGCAAACCGGGATTCGAACCCACAATCATAGGTTTCTGGCGTGCCCAAGGGACGCACCTCTGCACAGCGAATCGCAGCGCCTTAGACGACTTGGCCACCCGTGCCCCCAGGACGCTTTAGAAACATTCGTAAATTTTTGTTAATCACAAGAACAACTGCAAAACATCTCACTCACTTATAAAAGATGACTTTATTTGAAAATCGAGCCATAATCTCAGTATTCACAATGCCACACAGTGTGAGTAGCTTTCTGTCCGAAAATGTGTGATGTCCAAAAACCTATGATCTGACGAAACTGGACTAGGAAATTACTGTTTGTCTACACATTTTACATAATTTTATATCAACAGTTTAAAAGAATGATATGTCAGGACACAATTAAATGTACAGACGCATACTTACCATAATTGCTATTATTCCATAGGGTTTTCCTTCAACAAGATCACAGATTATCTTATTGTTGAAATATTGCACAGTTTCCCACTGAAATAAATACAATGAACTTACATTGCAGTTACAACAGATCATCTCTAAATAGGAATAACACACAACAGTAACATTGTGTTGGAACAATACGTTGAATGGTATTTCAGTCAAGAAGTTAAATTTGTGAAAACATCCTAAAGATACAATAAAGATTCAGAGATTTAGTTAGGAATACAAACCAAGTGCCCTCAGCATGCAAATGTGAAAAGTGAGTGAGTGGTTTTACGCCGCTTTCAGCAATATTCCAGCAATATCACGTCGGGAACACCAGAAATGGGCTTCACACATTGTACCCATGTGGGGAATCGAACCCGGGTCTTCGGCATGACGAGCGAATGCTTTAACCACTACGCTACCCTACCGCCCGAAATTTGAAAAGAGATGAGGGGCAAGATTCATCTTAGGTCTGTATCATATTTTGCTGACTCCCCCATTTCATGTAACATTTTTCCATCTTCCCCCCAAATACATGTAACATTTTTCCATCTTCCCCCGAACACATGTAACATTTTTCCATCTTCCCCCCAAACACATGTAACATTTTTCCATCTTCCCCCGAACACATGTAACATTTTTCCATCTTCCCCCGAACACATGTAACATTTTTCCATCTTCCCCCAAATACATGTAACATTTTTCCATCTTCCCCCGAACACATGTAACATTTTTCCATCTTCCCCCGAACACATGTAACATTTTTCCATCTTCCCCCAAATACATGTAACATTTTTCCATCTTCCCCCAAACACATGTAACATTTTTCCATCTTCCCCCAAACACATGTTACATTTTTCCATCTTCCCCCAAATACATGTAACATTTTTCCATCTTCCCCCGAACACATGTAACATTTTTCCATCTTCCCCCGAACACATGTAACATTTTTCCATCTTCCCCCAAATACATGTAACATTTTTCCATCTTCCCCCAAACACATGTAACATTTTTCCATCTTCCCCCCAAATACATGTAACATTTTTCAATCTTCCCCCAAACACACGTTAACATTTTTCCATCTTCCCCCGAACACATGTAACATTTTTCAATCTTCCCCCAAACACATGTAACATTTTTCAATCTTCCCCCAAACACATGTAACATTTTTCCATCTTCCCCCAATACCCATTTTTCCATCTTCCCCCAAACACATGTAACATTTTTCCACGTCCACCCCTTTCCCTATTATAAATGATCAGTCCCCAAATATATAACTTTAAATATTAGAACAAATTGAACTGTCATTTTTTCCTGACACCAGTTCCCCCCCTAGTTGTGGTGGGTGTTGGTGCATGCTGCTGCTGGGACTGCCAGTCTAGCCAGGCCTCCCCTAAATTAGGACTGTGATGTGTTGGAGATGGCCGCCTACCTCGATGCCCTCCCGCTGGTACTCCTCCTGCTCCGACTTGAGCGTCAGCTGGATGAACAGCTGCTGCAGCTTCTCGTTGCAGAAGTTGATGCAGAACTGCTCAAAACTGGAACAACAAGGCCAGTGAGTTAATCAAGTTGACATTGTAGGCTACCTCTGTCCCCGTTTACCTGTAAAATTAGGCTTGGACCGGTATTTCTTGTGACAGCCAGTACTGTGGACTGGCAAATAGCTCCAAATCTCAAAGGCGATGCAATTCGCTGTTCAGAGTTGCGTCCCTTGGGCACGCCAGAAACCTATGATTGGGGGTTCGAATCCCAGTTCGCCCCGATTATGTTTCTAGGTTTGTCAGCACCATACCCATGCTTGTCGGTTTCATCGGATTGGTAAACGTCTAAGACCTGCATCACTTCGAGCTTTCCTCCCACATTAAGCTGACACGCCGCGATATAACTGGAATACTGTTAAAAACGTGTTAAACCCAACTAACTCACTCACTCACTCCAAACTTCAAGCTCCCTGTTGCCCCCAACATTCAAAATAATTCTCTTTGTAGATTTGTATCATGTTTCTTCCCAAAATGTATTGACTCACATTATGTAGTAACTGAAACTTTGCATTATGTAACCTGTAATTGTCGATGTGATTATTTAAATATGCCAACCAGAGATGCGGCCGTCAAACAAGCTGTTTCAATCAGAGGGGGTTTATTGTGATTTAATAGCCTCTGATTGACCAATCATAATCGAGTAATTTCCAAATTCATGGTAGAATTAACAATAAGCTGGACGTAGTACCTTTCTTATGCATCATTCACTGCAGTAGAGTTCAGTATGTGTAATCCCTGCACTCAATCAGTAAACAATGATTTGTACATAAACTCACAGATGCAAGCTGAAAAGGATACTTTGGGTAAATACACTGACAGTTGTCACAATACTGGGGCTTTAAACATTTCATGAGTATACATATATGCAAGAAATTCAATATTAATTTGGTAACAATGTTTTATTTTGCATATTTTACACAAATACGCAGCTATTTATCAAAATTGAAATACAGTAAACTACGGTTAAAACAAACTCAAAGGGACTACTAATTTTAGTTTGTTATAACCGTAGATCGTTATAAGCATACACAGAGCATATACAGCAAATGACCGGGACAAAAACCCAGTTGTTATATCCGTCAGTTCATTACGTAGTTTACTGCAGTCAGAAATTCAAAGACTTACCTATTTACACCAAATATCTCAAATCCATAGATGTCGAGCAGACCCATTAGATTACATCGGTACTTGCCCTGAAACACAAGCAGTACTGTTATAGTGCTGGCTACAGACACAGACCATCTTCAGGAAAATGAATTGAAAAACAAAATTCATAATAAAACTAGCAAGTGTTCAACAAATTTTTCTTACTACACACCAAATAATATTGCATGCATGTTTCATTTCGAATTGGTAAGAATACCACAGTTAGGCATTTGTCCACTTCGTTCATTTCATTTTGACTGGTGGCAAAATAGTAGATGACAGAAAACAAACTGCGCCTAGATAAATTTTTATTTGTAAAGTATTGTAAATATCGGAGAATAAAGTCTCACATAATTCTGAGACACAAATTTGTGGTTGGTATGTTGCAAATGTAATGACAACAGTTCAGCAACTCAAGTGGGGAACATTTGAAATGTACCTTACATGTTAACGTGGCATATTGAAAATAATAGAAAGTGTTTGTTTGTTTGTTGTTTAACGCCGCACTCAGCAATATTCCAGCTATATGATGGCGGTCTGTAAATAATCGAGTCTGGACCAGACAATCCAGTGATTGACATCATGAACATCGTTCCACGCAATTGGCATACGATGACATGCATCAACCAAGTCAGCGAACCTGACCACCCGATCCCGTTAGTCGCCTCTTACGACAAGCATAGTCGCCTTTTACGGCAAGCATGAGTTGCTGAAGACCTATTCTACCCCGGCTCTTCACGGGTCTAATAGAAAGTGTCTCCTTATACATGAATGTCAGATTCTCATTGGCTGTGTAATAGAAAGTGTCTCAGCCAATGAGAATCTGATGTTCATGTGTAATGTACGATTATAGGAACAGATGTGTGAAAAGCTGATGCAGCCTCTAAAGATGAGAAGCCAGAGAGCTGAAATGATGTGATAGTGTAAGGGAGACAACTGTGACTGACCCTGGTTGCTAGTGAGGAGTTGACTTTATGGACGATCCAGGTAAAGAGTCTATCATACACGCCTTTAGACAGCGCGTCCTTGGCGTACAGCGCCTGATCTTGTGACAGGGGTGTCTTTACCTGTTACATGGAAACAATTATATTCATTTAGTAATGGATAGTGTCAATGATGCGATTAACTGATCCGATTAACTTGGAATCACGATCCTATAAATATGCAGACTAAGTCCCATTTGTCACCACTCGCCCCTTTCTGTAACCTGCAAGAAGACTTGTCCCCTTCATTCGTCATCACTCGCCCCTTTCTGCAACCTGCAAGAAGACTTGTCCCCCTCATTCGTCACCACTCGCCCCTTTCTGCAACCTGCAATTGTCCCCCTCATTCGTCACCACTCGCCCCTTTCTGCAACCTGCAAGAAGACATGTCCCCCTCATTCGTCACCACTCGCCCCTTTCCGCAACCTGCAAGAAGACTTGTCCCCCTCATTCGTCACCACTCGCCCCTTTCCGTAACCTGCAAGAAGACTTGTCCCCCAATCGATGAAAGTTATGTGCGAAAATACGACAAACCAATCAGAATGTGCGTATGATTTAAAGTTCTTCGTCAAAGAATCCCTCAGATATAATTTTTTATTTTACATATGTCTTGCATCTAAAAATATACCCAAGACACAGTTAAATGTGTTCAATCATACTGTATAATTCTGCATGTCAAGCTGTGCTTTAAATTGCATCTGAAATAAATACAATATATGGGGAAATATATGTGACCCATTAGGCAACGAGTTGACAATTGTTATAGGTAAACTTTCCAAATATGCTGAGACAAAACTATATGTAAGTTATTTGACACTATATGGTAAATAGGGCCGTTCACTCAAACATTGAGTGAAATGACCTCTTAAAAAATCAATTTTCTTAAGAATCTTAACTGATTCTGAATCACTTCCCCCCAAAATCATCTTCCTGAAGCAAACTGAACTGGAATTTTTTGGAGTTATGTCCCTTCTGTGTAATATCTGTTGACACCTTGTTTGTTTGTTTGTTTGTTTAACACTGCACTCAGCAATATTCCAGTTATATGTTGGCGGTCTGTGTAAATAATCAAGTCTAGACCAGACAATCCAGTGATTGATGTTATGAGCATTGATCCTCGGAATTGGGATCGATGACATACATCAATCAAGTCAGCGAGCCTGACCACCCGATCCCTTTAGTCGCCTCTTATGACAAGCATAGTCGCCTTTCATGGCAAGTATGTATATACCCCGGATCTTCACCGGCTGTTGACACTAAGTTGACGGTACACATGCTTTGAAAATCATGCAATCGACCGAAATCTACACGGCAGTTTACGAACCGGATGATGATTTCATTACGTGATTTTAATTGGTCTCGTTAGCCCGGCCCAAACATTACTGCATAATTCCAGCCAAGTTCGACAACGGTGTAAACCAGACTTTTCTAGTCAGTTAACTCCCTTGCCTTGTTTGGTGTTGAACGCCGCACTCAATATTATTTCAGCTGTATGACGGCGGTCTGTAAATAATGGAGTCCGGACCAGACAATCCAGAGACTGACATCATGTGTATTGATCTATGCAACTGGAATACGACATGTAATCACCCAAGTCACTGATCCTGACCACTCAATCCATTTAGTTGCCTCTCATGACAAGCACGGGTTGTTGGGCAATGAGCATTGTTAAATATCATCTGAGAAAAGTAACATCTTACCCTCTCCCCCCTGGCATCAATGGTCCGGTTGCTAAGAGACGAGATGAGGACATCGTCCGGACAGTCCAGCAACTGAAAGAAGAACATGTGTAGTCACTCATCTCTGATTCCTTCCAATTTTGACAGGAAAAGGAGACAAAAATATTTCACTGTTTGATGTTGCGTTCAAGATTATTGCACTTATATAGCGACGTGCATGTATGTGTGAGAGTGGCATGCCTGGGCGTATAGGTGTAAAGTGCTAGCCCACTGTGATACCATTAATAGGGATCCCCCACTCAGACACAGTACTCCGAAGCCAAACCAGTCCTTGTTTTAGGCCCTCACGCCAAGTGCCAGGCAGGGTAACAACAAGGACCACCCTTTTTTCATCTTTTGGTATGATGCGACTGGGGATCGAACCACCGACCTTCCGCTTTCCTGGCAGACGCTCTATCCACCAGACCACGGATAGAAAGAGGAAAGAATCATATTTCCCTGTTTGGAATTAAGGGGGTCCTGAGGTCCTTAAGGTTTTCTGCGACAGCATTTGAATCTAGGGAATGATAAACTTTTAACATGCGAGTCTTGATGAGAACATCTATACTTTCATTGTGTATTGTAAAATTTGAGATAGCGGACAAAGACGAATCAGCATGACTTCAATCAATCTTGCTGGGAATGCAATGTAGCCCAGGCCTCCTCCAGTTCATTACCTTTGCTATATGTGACACTGCCTCTAGATCCTTGATCTTGACCAGGCCATCATCACTGGTCTGATACTCTAGGTTCCCAAGGTGAAGGACAGATGCGATGATTGAATACAGAGCCTATAAAAATCACAAGAACAGAATGTTGTAACTAGTCACCAGTTTGTGTACATGTTCCATGCATAGTGTAAACAAACAAACCTGAAAAATTGAGTTTAGGTTGACATGCAGAATTGTAAGCTGAGATTTCCCTTCACGTCCTTCACACCACATCCCCGACACCCACCAGACATCCCTTCACGCCCTGGCCACCCATGTCTTGACACCCACCAGACATCAAGACATCCCATCACGTCCCCAACACCCACCAGACATCAAGACATCCCATCACATACCTGACACCCACCAGACATCCCACCACATCCCCGACACCCACCACATCTCCAACACCCACCAGACATCAAGACATCCCATCACGTCCCCGACACCCACCAGACATCAAGTCATCCCATCACATCCTATCACGTCCCCGACACCCACCAGACATCAAGACATCCCATCACATACCTGACACCCACCAGACATCCCACCACATCCCCGACACCCACCAGACATCAAGACATCCCATCACATCCCCGCCACCCGCCAGACATCAAGACATCCCATCACATCACATCACATCACATCACGTCCCCGACACCCACCAGACATCAAGACATCCCATCACATCACATCACGTCCCCGACACCCACCAGACATCCCATCACATCCCCACCACCCGCCAGACATCAAGACATCCCATCACATCACATCACGTCCCCGACACCCACCAGACATCAAGACATCCCATCACATCCTATCAAGTCCCCGACACCCACCAGACATCAAGACATCCCATCACATCCCATCAAATCACATCACGTCCCCGACACCCACCAGACATCAAGACATCCCATCACATCCTATCAAGTCCCCGACACCCACCAGACATCAAGACATCCCATCACATCCCATCAAATCCCATCACGTCCCCGACACCCACCAGACATCAAGACATCCCATCACATCCCCGCCACCCGCCAGACATCCCATCATGCCCTGACACCCACCAGACATCCCGGACACCCACCTCCTGCTCCTTCTTGCTGAAGTCACAGATGTCGAGTGCCTGCTGAACAATCTTAAAACTCTTCTTGTCATCCACTGACTCGGCCATCACACTCTCACCCTGCAACAGTAAATAGTCACTGAATCCAACATAAATCCACAGAGGCACAGTCAGTCAGAGTGCAAACAACAAGTACCATCGTTTGGTAAGACATTGACAGGAATCAAACCACTAACCTCTGTCCTCCTGCAAGACACTCTATCCACTAGACCACAGAGGTCTTTTTTAAACTGAGAATTCCTACATTTGACACTAAGGGTGTGTGGTACTACCGCTACACCGGTATATTGTGGTGCAAATCTTCAGCAAAACGTATTGCAATATATTTTTAAATGTAGCAATATATTGGGGCAAACATGATAAGTATATTTAAGTGTTCCTAATTGATATGGAGATGGAATATAGTATCTTTCTGATACAACTTTGCTGATAATCTTTTTATCAATTAGCATGTACACGTTGTGACTATAAAGATCCTCACAGTGACAGACCATTCGCGGAGCTCTCTATACTGAGAGTACAACGAAGGTGTCACGCGCTGGGAAGGTCATTAACACAGGGTATAACTCTGATTAACTGCAAATTGGCAATATATTGCAATACGTATCGCAATACAGGCTAAAGTATGGCAATATATTGCAATACGTATCGCAAAACAGGCTAAAGTATGGCAATATATTGCAATATGTATCGCAATACAGGCTAAAGTATGGCAATATATATTGCAATATGTCTCGCAATAGTGGCAATACAGGCTAAAGGATGGCAATATATATTGCAATATGTCTCGCAATAGTGGCAATACAGGCTAAAGGATGGCAATATATTGCAATACGTATCGCAATACAGGCTAAAGTATGGCAATATATATTGCAATATGTATCGCAATAGTGGCAATACAGGCTAAAGTATGGCAATATATATTGCAATATGTCTCGCAATAGTGGCAATACAGGCTAAAGGATGGCAATATATTGCAATACGTATCGCAATACAGGCTAAAGTATGGCAATATATATTGCAATATGTATCGCAATAGTGGCAATACAGGCTAAAGTATGGCAATATATTGCAATATGTATCGCAATACAGGTTAAAGTATGGCAATATATTGCAATACAAAATCCAGGTCAATACACAGCCCTATTTGACACAATATGGAGAAGCAAAAAAGGCTAACAAATTGATACCAACAGTCAAATTCAATATCAGTTTTTTGCTAAATATTTCAGTAACAATGTAGGTCACCGGTACATCCTGAGCTTCCAAGTCCTGGTATGTGCGTACTAAATAGTCGTAATACAGCTATCGATGGTAGTGATGATTATCAGTGTAACATTAGAGTGAGTGAGTGAGTATGGTTTTACGCCGCTTTTAGCAATATTCCAGCAATATCACGGCGGGGGACACCACAAATGGGCTTCACACATTGTACCCATGTCGGGAATTGAACCCGGGTCTTCGGCGTGACGAGCGAATGCTTTAACCACTAGGCTACCCGACCGCCCCTGTAACATTAGAATAAGAGAACTTGGGATGATTTTTACAAACTGGATGGTGGCTAACAAAGACACAATTTGATCTTTTGTGTTTGTTTGTTTGTGTGTTTGTTTGTTATTGAACAACCCACTTAGCAATATTCCACCTATACAATAGCAGCCGGTAAATAATCGAATCTGCACCTGACAATCCAGTGATTGATATTGTGAACAACAATCCACGCTGTCCGGGTGCGATAATACGTCACCGACCAAGTCACCGAGCCTGACCACCCGATCCATTTGCTTGCCTCTTACACCCAGCACAGGTTGTTAGGGATCAATTCCAACTTAGAACATGGGGCTTACCTCAAGGAAATATTGTAAACCATTACAATCTGTGTAAACATTCAATTGATATGAGTTACAGTATAAAATTACAAGCTGTTTCATACAAATACAGTTTAAAGCATAAAAGTTGAATACATGTTTTAGTTTCTAAATAGAAATTAAATGAAGTATTTGTTAGTTATTTAGACTTAAAATAGACCTACATTAAATACACAGAATAAATGAATGAGTGAGTGGGTTGGGTTTAACACCACTTTTAATAGTATTCCAGTTATAACGCGGCATTTACCACTTTGGTGAAACCCACGAGCACAATAATATATCTCTTCGTTACTGTGTGTGTGTGTGTGTGTGTGTGTGTGTGTGTGTGTGTGTGTGTGTGTGTGTGTGTGTGTGTGTGTGTGTGTGTGTGTGTGTGTGAGAGAGAGAGAGAAAGACTATATGTGTCAATACACTATGTTTAAAAACAATTATACTGAACAAAAGCGTTTGGCCACACATTTCTTAGTTTTCATCTCACGGGCCCAGCATCCCTACTGAAAAGCAGCTGGAAAAGAAATAAATTAAAGACAAAAAATATATATTTTTATCATGTCTCCCACTAGCAATATGGACCCTCTATACAATTGAAAATGTTAAAGATAAATTCCATGTCTACATCACTGTCAGTGATTCAAGAAGCCAGCTGCAGTTTTAACTAAACGCCAGAAAGACTTTCATATAAGTAAATAAATGATTGACATTCATTTATACTTTATTTCGACTGACCTTGTGTGGAAAAGCTGGAATAAATGTGTGAAAACGGTGTGGCCTTAAGGGTCTTGAATAAATTAGGGGACATCTTTTGTAGTGAAGGCTAAGCACACAATTTCATGAAATATATCCCCAAATATCTTTTTGTTCAGTGTGGTCTACTGGGAACAAACTGGTTCATCACTTGTATACGAACATACATCAAAGTTACTGTAATAAAAATATCTTGATAATATAAACCTTTACGATGATGGCAGTAAAGAACAGTTATTAATCCAGTCTGGCTGATACATTAGCAGGGACAGGTGAGTGAGTGAGTAAGTGAGTGAGTATGGTTTTACATCGCCTTTGCCAATATTCCAGTAACAAATCTCGGCTCCCAACAAACACAAGTAGTGAGTTAGTGAGTCAATGACAGGTCAGACTTAGGTTTGTGGGCACTTGGGTGAAAGTCGTGGCTGGTAGGGGAAAAATGAACAAAAACATTTCTGATTTCTTGTTTGCCAATATTTCCATTGTTTGTGAAGCTGGTATCGTCTGTCTATACATTTAACATATTGTACAAGTATGGTACAAGTTTTTGGTGAACATTTAAGTCTGCAGTTACCTGTTTCAAAATTAACATTAAAAGTTGCCCACTGGTCTCTTATCCCCGAGCCAGACGGGTGGGTGGACAACGAATTTGACGGACAACAGAAAACACACTTAAGAGTTATTCCCCCTGGATATATTTCATATGGAAAATATCGTAACTATCTGGACATTTATGTAACTCAAGAAGGGAACCTCACATGTTAGCGGGGTACACTAAAAATAGAATGGTCTCAGCCAATCAGAATCCGACACTCCTGTGTATAAGATCACTTATATTTTTCCTATGAATGATAAAGTTTCTTCTCAAAAGAAAACACATAGGTTTATTAAAGAAGTTAAAATTAAATTAAAGTTAAATGAACAGTGTCAATAATTAAATAACAAAATACAACTTGGCACTATTACACACAGATTAGGCCCACTAGGGTTGGTAACCTTGTTAGTAAAATCAGAAATACCTCTCTACAATCCTTATATGAAAAGAAAACAAACAATCTGGTATACATATGCAATACATGACAATTGATTCTAAATCACTTCCTCTCAAAGTTTTTTTGTGTGTATGTGGTTTAACGCTGCATTCAGTAATATTCCAGTTATATGACGAGTGGTCTGTTTGTACCAAGGGCAGATCCAGCATTTTCAAAAGGGAGGGTTCCAAAATATCAAAATCCTCTCTTAGATAATTTTACTGCCTATAAACATACTACATTTGGTTTTCAAAAGGGTGGGGGGTCCCTTGGCCCCCTGGAACCCCTCTGGATCCGCCTGTTTGTTTGTTGTTTAACGCTGCACTCAGCAATATTCCAGCTATATGACGGCAGAACGTAAATAATGAAGTCTGGACCAGACACTCCAGCGATTGACATCATGAGCATCAATCTATGCAATAGGGATGTACAATGACACACATCAACCAAGTCAGTGAGCCTCACCACCCGATCTCGTTCTCGCCTCTAACAACAAGCATGGGTTGCTGAAGACCAATTCTAACCCTGATCTTCAAGAGTATATCCCTCAGTGGAACCCCACAGTATGGCAATGACAGGCAAAGAATCACAACTTTTGGCAAATCTCAACAGCTGATCCTGAAAGGCAAATGGACGTAACTCTGCTCAGTGCCTTTGGTATTAACTATAAAGATGGAGGAACGTCATTTACCTGATACAGGTAAAAGTAATTCTGTGGGTCCCGGGTGAGATGGAGTCGCTGAAGCGTGTCCTCTGATGCCCCTGTGAGGAGCTGGTAGAAGACATGGAAGTTGCGCTCTCCCGACGCCTGATGGATGACTCGGGACTTCTCCAGAAGGTAGTTCAGGATGTGACCCCCGACAGGTGCACCCTGGGTAAAAGAGTTAAAAAAGTTTGTACCTTGTTATATGTATCATATTACATCAATTTACCAATACATATTTTCGTTTATTTGGCTTGTAAAACATATACACACTGAAGAAAGCTCCCCCTCACACTTAAATCATTTTTATCTCACACTTTTGCAAGAGATCTGAGAGTTACTTCCCCTCATATTTGAGGGGCAAATACCTGATGTAATTGTGATGCCAAATCTAAAATTATGTTGATGAAATTCATCAGCTGACTTAATAATGTGCCAATCTAGTCATCACCTTTTCTCTGAGCATGGCCTTCAACTGATTTACGCAAAGAGTACACACCCTTTTTACGTTTATCACTCCATAAATGCAAATACCCACTGAAGTCAATTCTTATGAATAAATATATCAGTGAGTGAGTAAGTGAGTTGGGTTTAATGCCGCTTTTAACAGTATTCAAATAAATATATCAACAAAACACACTTCACAGACTCGGTGACATCGTTCAGTGCAAATATGCATTACTCAATGCATTCTCTCATAAGCCAATCAGAAAACAGTAGTCTGTTAGTAGGTGTGGCCTAATTGTGAAGGCAACTTTGGACAAGATATTAAATACACATCTTGTTACCTTGTAGTCAAACTGTATGTCCATATACTTCCCAAAGCGACTAGAGTTGTCGTTTCTGTTTGTTTTTGCATTTCCAAATGCCTGAAATAACAAAATTAACATGTTACACAAAGCCAATAAAATAATTCTGAGTAAAGGGGAAATATAAGAAAATTTCTTCAATCATTAGAAGATCTAGTATGAGGGTTATTGATAGTGGGTGAGGACAACTGACATGTGAATTCTGCAATAATTAACCTCTAAGAGATAAAAAAACATCATTAGTGATTAGTTTAAGTGAGTGAGTGAGTGAGTGAGTGAGTGAGTGAGTGAGTGAGTGAGTGAGTGTATGGTTTTACGCCGCTTTTAGGAATATTCCAGCAATATCATGGCAGAAATGGGCTTCACACATAGTACCCATGTGGGGAATCAAACCCAGGCCTTCAGCATGACAAGCGAACGCTTTAACCTCCTCCCCACTATGAACAGTATGTCAGCCAAAAACCAAGCACATCAGCTAACTGTGTGGAAAGCACAACATGACCTGATATAGACAAACCACGAGACCATAATCATGGTGATCTGTGGATCTGAACCAATGGACAGCAGATCCTGGCACGAGAAAGGCACAGAAATCTGTACAGCAAATTGCAGCACCCAAGACCACTGAGTCACTGAATTTGAACCAACAAACAGCAGATCCTGGAATGGCCAAGGTGCATAACTCTGCACATCAAATTGCGGCACTTTCGACCACTCAACCATTGAATTAAACACATCATGGCATGGCCAAGGTACAAACATGTACAGCAAATGGTAGCACCTTAGACCTCTTGGCCACCCTTGACATCAGATTGGTTGTTTCAGCTATATGACGGCGGTCTGGAAATAATCGAGTCTGGACCAGACAATCCAGTGATTAATATCATGAGCATTGATCCATGCAATTGGGATCAATGACATGCATCGACCAAGTCAGCGAGCCTGACCACCCGATCCCGTTAGTCACCTTTTACGATAAGCACAGTCACCTTTTACGGCAAGCATGGGTTGCTGAAGACGTATTCTACCCCGGAACTTCACGGGTCGACATCAGATTGGAATTATTGAAGCATGTGTTGCTGGACCATTATCATATCGCCATGTCAAAATGATGAGATCTGATCTGGATAGAATACTGTATAACCCACCTTCGAGGGTAACAAATTGGTCAGCGGGGGAGTAAATCTCTTAAACATTGCCTTGAGCAATACAGTCTGCAGTGATTTCTGAGAGACAGAATAAATTCTTCATACCTCGCTTCAAAGCAAGGTCTCACTCTTTTTCCAAGTCAATGGAGTGAGTGAGTATGGTTTTACGCCACTTTTAGCAATATTCCAACAATATCACAGCGAGGGACACCAGAAATGGGCTTCACACATTGTACCCATGTTGGGAATTGAACCCGGGTCTTCGGCGTGACGAGCGACCGCTTTAACCACTAGGCTACCCGACCGCCCCCCACGTGACATAGCTCAAGTTAACCTGAGCTCAATTGAACAGCTGTTTCCTATCAACTTTTAATTTTTGTTAATTCTTTATAATGTCTTATTAAAACATGTCAGTAAGATAAATTGATGGTAGAAGGATCAAAAGGGGTACATGGGTTTTATGCCATGAGCCGGAGTTTATAACACTTGTCTCCGGCTCGTGGTATAAAACCTAACACAGGACACATAAAACCCTATGTACCCGGAGTGATCCTGCTACAACTTCTATTGTACCACATACTGCCTCCAGACAAGCAACACTTTACCTCTAGGATGGGATTGGACTGAAGGAGTCTGTCTTTGACTCTCTCCACCTCATTGGAATGTGTGCTACTGGCGGCGATGTACTGTAAGATCTTCTTAGACGCCTCCGTCTTGCCAGCGCCCGACTCCCCCGAGATGAGGACACACTGGTCCACTGACTCTCCCCGCATGGACCGGTACGCCGCGTCGGCGATGGCGTAGCTGAAACACAGACGATCACATACAGCAATATTTTGTTTGTTTGTTGTTTAATGCCGCACTCAGCTATATTCCAGCTATATGACGGCTGTCTGTAAATAATCGAGTCTGGACCAGACAATCCAGTGTTTGATATCATGAGCATCGATCCACGCAATTGGGATCGATGACATGCTTTTACCAAGTCAGCGAACCTGACCACCCGATCCCATTAAGTCGCCTCTTAGGACAAGCATAGTTGCCTTTTACGGCAAGCATGGGTTGTTTAAGATTTATTCTATCCTAGATCTTCACAGGTCACATACAGCAATATACATACAGCAATAGAGTTTCAATATTAGGGGCAAGAAGAGTTGGGTTTAATGCTGATTTGATTTTTGGTTTCTTAGTTTGTTTGCTGTTTAACGACACAATAATCTAGCTATATTATTGCAATCTGTAAATAATCAAGTCCGGCCTAGACAATCTAACAATTAAGACCATGAGTATCGATCTACTCAATTGGAAATTGGGATACAATGACATGCATCAAATAAGTCAGTGAGTCTGACCACCAAATCCCGTTAGTCCCCTATTACGACAACATGTGTTGCTGAAGACCAATTCTAACCCGAATCTTCATGGGGCAAGGCTGATTTGAACAGTATTTCAATTATATCATGGTGTGTCAGCTTGATATGGGAAGACATCAAAGATGTGAGGTGTAATTGGGTTTAACGTCGCATCCAAGATTATTGCACTTATATAGCGACGTGCATGCACGTGTATGTGTGTGTGTGGCTGCTTGTACTAGTCCATGCTGATGCCGATTTATAGTGCTAGCTCACTGAGATACCATGCCGCAGTTAAACATGAATACCCCACTCAGACACAGTATACTGACTCGGAGGCGACCAGTCCTTGTTTTAGCCATTTAATGCCGAGCGCCAGACAGGGTAACAACAAGTACCATCTTTTAACGTCTTTTTGTATGACGCGGCCCGGGATTGAACCCTGGACCTTCCGCTCTCCGGGCGGACGCTCTACCACAAGACCACGGAGGCGGTCACACCAAAGATGTATGCAGGTAGTCAGGGATTAATATTCAAGCATTACCGTATTCGACATAATAAGCGCCCCGCTCCAATAAGCGCCCACGGCGATATTTGCTAATATATTGGCAAGTGAACAATCCCAATTAGCACCCCTTCCAACTGATCAATGTACACAAGACTTATTTATTCGCGTATAATACACACTCGTGTGTTATATGCTCCCTTAATTATGGGCAATTTAATTCTAAAAAAATATATCTGTCGTACATAAACATTTCAGGCTGTCAGCATAAACCACGAAATTTATCTTTCAACTGTGTTGTTTTTCACCAAAATAATATTCTAATAAGAGCCCCCTATTTCTAATTTTGAGTGCGCCCTGGGCGCTTATTACATCGAATACCTCTGTGAGTCCTGTAATTGCATGTTAAGGCTCACCACAGTGCTTTTGTTGTTCTTTTGCAGTGTATTTTCCTTACACATTCAGCACGTACCAAGAATCTATCAAGAATCTATCAAGAATCTTTCTGTCATTGTCTGTACTAGAAGCACCCTGTAAATCACCCTTACTATTCCAGGATCAGTGTTGGTGATTTTATAGTGTGATGACAGCCAAACGCAGGACTTATGGCTATGATGTAATAGAGGTAGGATACTCATAGGAATTATCCTGACAGGGAGTTACTTACATGTGTGGTGGGAGTTCGTAGAAGTTGACGTTGCGGTAGGTGTGGATAAAGTCATCATTGTAGATGTCCAGTTGGTGATATGGGTTGACAGACACCAGCACTGGCCCGATATATGTCTGCAATAAAACCAGGAAAAAAACTGTCATAATCACCTACATACCTGATTCCGGCATGCACTTTATCTGTTGTTATCAGACAGAGCTGACAAATATTGTTTTTGACTATTATTTAAAGCAATATTTGCCCAGCATATCGGGTTCAGGAAGTTTTTTATATTATCCTGATTGTTACTAGTAGCAGGACAATACAGCGACATGTCGGAGGATTGCGATGTTTTACTTCTCGATACAAGTATCGAGCACATTCGCATATACTCAGTTAAAAATAATGAATCTTAACTTAAATGTATTCTTTAATAAATGTTACACCCACATTAATTACTAGCAAAAACGAGTAGTGAAAACGTTAATATTTTCATCCATTGCGCCATATTTGACACTGCCAACTCTAAATCGTTAGTGTGTCTGGTATTTGGCCATCCTATCTATGTAAGATGGCTTACACACCACAGATAAGAGCACATGCAAGTACCGTGATACGTATCAGATCTGGAGCAAGGTATCATGATACGTATCAGATGACACAGATGGCTTACACACCACAGATAAGAGCACATGCAAGTACCGTGATACGTATCGGATCTGGAGCAATGATACGTATCGGATCGCACTGTTGGTACATCGTCCAGCCCTAATTGTTACTATGTTTATGGACCCTCCAGGAATCAAAACAAAGTTTTATCGTTGGTTAATTTCAGTTACACAAACATTTAAAGCAGATAAATATGACAAGGTAAGTAACTCTTTATTGAAAAAGAAATCACCCCCTTGTTCATGTTGTTCCAATTCATTTTTCACAAACCAATTTTTGATAAAAAATTAAAATAAAATATATTTTTTTTAAATGGTGGTTTCACAATAAATATTTTGTTTGAAATGTAACTAAGGCTGGAGGCATTTTATATGTTATATATTACTTTATTAAAAACCTTTGTGTGCAATAAGTGTCGACTGATGTGAGCTGAGGGAAGTTTGGTACGGCCACTTATACAGATAGCATTTCATCAAGTAGGAAAGAAGGGACCACAAGTCTCCTAATTTGTAGGGGGCACGGGTGGCCCAGTCGTCTAAGGCGCCGTGATTCGCTGTGCAGAGTTGCGTCCCTTGGGCATGCCAGAAACCTATGATTGTGGGTTCGAATCCAGGTTTGCCTCGATCATGTTTCTAGGTTTGTCAGCACCATACCCATGCTCGTGGGTTTCACCCAAGTCGTAAACGTCTGAGACCTGCATCACTTCGGGCTTTCCTCCCACATTAAGCTGACACGCCGTGATGTAACTGGAATACTGTTAAAAGCGACGTTGAACCCAACTCACTCACTCACTCACTCACTCACTCCTCATTTGTAGGTACATCTGGACAAAACAATGATGGTGAGGTGTGTTTGAGAATAAGGTAGTGAAAAAATGATAATTTACACATTATCTGATAATGGCAATTCTAATGGTTTTTTTTTATTCCACACAGATGCTAGTTTCAAAAAACTAATTAACAAAAAATGAGTGATTAAATAATTTATTTCCTGTAACAAATGTCATTCCAAAGAGATAAACCTGATTAATTTGGTTAGATATAGCAGCCTACTCTCCACAACACGTATCTTGACAGCAACCTCCATCCGGGTGATGCCTAAATCATCTGTAAACACATTAACCACTGCCAAGGAACACTCTCAGAACACATGATGTAAACTTAACCCAAATATCTAGAGTAGCTCAAGGCTCGCTTATCAGGGTGTCATTAATCACTGAATAATCTTGTATCTCTGTGAGGGGAGAATGGACGGGTTTCTCCGTCAGTATCTTCTGGTTCTAACGTGGGACAACCTTGCACGGGTACAGGTGCTAAACATTAACTTACATAACAAGGTCAAGGTCAGACAGGTGGTAATCTGCATCTGTTGCCATGGTTACCTGTGTTATCAAGATTAATGGTACCTGTTGCCAACAACTAAATTCTTTCATGACAGTAGCTTCTCTTGTAAAGTAAAGAGTAAAGATTTCGGGATTAACTAATCAACTTTTGTAATTTTAATTTTTTGACCTATCAACATAAGCTTTTGTATCAAAATTTTAAAAAACACAACAAAAAACACCTAGCCTTATCATTTACCAATTTGCTTTCCTTATCAGATGTGAGGTGACTTTGGGTTGAACATTTGCATTCAAGATTGCACTTGTATTGAGGCATGAGTGAGTGAGTGGGGTGAGTGAGTGAGTGAGTGAGTGGGGTGAGTGAGTGAGTGAGTGAGTGGGGTGAGTGAGTGAGTGAGTGGGGTGAGTGAGTGAGTGAGTGAGTGTGTGTGTGAGTGGGATGAGTGAGTGAGTGGGATGAGTGAGTGAGTGAGTGAGTGAGTGAGTGAGTGAGTGAGTGAGTGGGGTGAGTGAGTGAGTGAGTTTTATCCCATCTATATCACAACACCCTGCTTCTTTCCTTTGGTTGTTGCTTAACGCCACAATCGGCAATATCACAGGAACATAACGACACCCTACCAAAAACTGAGTCTGGACCAGACAAACCAGAAAGCGATATTATTAGCAATGGTGCATGTCGTGAACGGTCACCGAGCCTCATCACCACCCAAGCAAGACAAACATAGGAAGCTTGGGACTAATTTTAACCCAGAATCCCCACACGGTCATGTCAGTCTTTCAACAATAGAGTCTGGGTGAAACAGACAAGCGGTCACACTGTAGCATGAACAACAATCCACGCTGTCGGGTACAACAACATCCAATCAGACACTGTCGCGTTATGACAAGCATGGGACGTATTCAATCCCTTAATCTCCACAGGAGCTGCGTAAACATAAAAAAGAAGTGTGACCTATTGTGATGGATCACCATCTCTCACTCTGATTCTGTCACTCTCGAGTTCGGACCCACCACGCAGAATCTGTCCTCGTCTACACATGGCCAGGTAACATTGTCAAACATCTTCACGATGATCAATAATGAAAGGTTTTCATAAAACATTAGCAATAAAAACCTTGTGATTTTGGCCTGATGTTTGGCTAGATGTTCAAAACCGGTTAATTGCTAATACTCTGAAAGACTGGTAACAACTAAAATGGTCATTAATAAGTTAAAGACGAAGAATTAATTTGACATTCAGTCACACATGTTTATCTTAAACTCAAAGTTAACACAGCGATCATAAGGGTCTGGATTTGTGTCAAAAACTGTAAAAAATGAATTATTACATAATTACTTAAACCTTACTCACTAAAGTCCAGATATCTTGAAAATGCATAACATTCTGTTATTGTATTTTCTTATAATGAGACGGTGAAAGATTTACTATTGAGAAAACATTGAATTACGTAACAAGGTCGCATCGAACTAACAGCGAAGTGGGCTTGTTTTTTCTTGTCTAATATTTGACATTCCTGGAGGTCTTAACAGAGTCATGCAATCTATTTGAGAGCCATGTCACTTACGTAGATAAGATTTCCTTGGAATCTTTTCTTCAGATTCTCATTGAAGGCGTCGGAATTGGTGAAATCTTCCAGGAGCACAAAGTCTTGAACTCCAACTCTATCTCGCTTATGTAATGCATTCTCCATCTTCTTACGTTTGTCGCTACGATCTTGCACCTGGCGACCCTGGGATGTGTTGACGCATCAGATAGACCTGATGCCGAGAGACAGCACTGACTACCGTAATCGCTGCACGCCCAGTTCCAACAGCGGAGTGTGGAATCAGCTGATCATGTCTGGCTGTTTGAACACCTCTGGTAAGCTGCCTGTACAAACAGAAAGCAGGGGTCAGATTGGGGTTCACGAGCGCCAGACGACGAGTGGGGCGGTGTCCAGGCACAACATCTAATTGAGTGTAATTACAGTAGAATAGGAAGGAGGAAAGATGATAAAAGCATCGATCCAGGATTTTAACATTTACCTGTTTTATCTAGGAACAATAAAAAACAATAAAACATGATTTTAACACTTGTCTGTTTATATAAGAACAATAAAAACATTAAAACATTATCATCACATTTTAATAGTTTTTTTCAACTGGTCCTTTTGGGGGGTTTAAGCTTTTAAAATATTTTTTGTTTGCGATTAGTATAATCAAGCAAGTTGAAATGGAAAAAGAGAACCATAAGAGTATTATAATACATGTAATAATAATAATAATAATAATAATAATAATAATAATAATAATAATAATAATTTCCGTTTATCCATTTGTATGGCGCCAAACTCTATACCAGCTCGTATGCTCATGGCGCTTACATTATTATCCCAGTCAATGGATCAGTGAGCACTGGATTTTCATTCTCAGCTCCCTGGGGAGTATACAACCCAAGCAGCCTGTGAGGCACGAGAAGGTTAACAGCCACATTACCATCTCATCCTACCGGGTACCCACTCACTGCTGGGTGAACGGAGGCACATTTCGAACAAAGTCACTTGCCTAAGGAGACACCACATGTGGTACATGTGCTTCAGTGTGTGACAGGACCGAAGCCCTAGAAACTCTCAAGTTAGCTGAGTCAAGCTGCTGAACGTGGTCACCCACTCTTTGAGACTGACGTTGCTTAACTTCACCTGATTAGTGATCTGTGCGCTGTGCATAGGACCACATGCAGTTATAAAGTTAAGCCTCTAAGTTATGGATTGATGTTGAACTGTGTGTAACAGTGACGTCCTTGAACTCGGAGAGCTCAAGGTTACAAATGTGAAATTCATGTAACCCTAATAGCAATGCCAATTGTATGGACACTGGGTATATATATCCAACATTGGTTACTGTATGGAAGTGTTTAGTTCTGTCTTAACTCCTTATGATAGCTTCAGGTTTTCTAAATAAGTAAAATCCCTTGTTCTTGTAATAAACAAGTATAACAAACAAGGACGCGTTCTTATGGATAAAATTTTTTTTATAGTGTTACTATAACTGGAGGGATGTTTCGGTGTAGATTCTAACACATTTATCACTTGATTGGTGTAAGAATCAACTTTCAACTCAATTGTTGTAACTTCTTTAGCCCAGTGTTCGAAATAATTTTATACCCAACACGACATTCGGGCAGGTGACCCACAAGTGTTGCCTTTCCATCTTCAGAGTTACCTGCCCGCATTCAGACACTCTCTCTATTGAAAAACACAAAAACTAAGAGACATCTTGATTCATTTGAAATAATGCAAACAATTACTTGAGAATCTACAAGGAATAATAATAAAACTGAATACATAAGTAGTCTTAAAATTATATCAGACAGTCGGGCAGGTGAAGGAATATTTCATGCAGCCCGACAGAAAAGTTGCCAGCCACGGGCAGGCAGGCAAGCTGTTGTTTCGGACAATGTTTCATCCATAGACATTGTCCTTGTTCATCACACCAATTCTAAATGCCACTTATAGAAGCATAATAAATGTTGATCACCGTATTCGACGTAATAAGCGCCCGGGGCGCTTTCAAAATTAGAAATAGGGGAATCTTATTAGAATATTATTTTGGTGGAAAAAAAAACAGAGTTGAAAGGTAAATTTCGTGGTTGATGCAGACAGCTGGAAATGTTTATATACGACAGATATATTTTTCCAGAATTTGATTGCCCATAATTAAGGGTGCATATAACACATGAGTGCGTATTGTACGCGAACAAATAATTCTTGTGTACATTGATCAATCGGAAGGGGTGCTAATTGGGACTGTTCACTAGCCAATATATTAGCAAATATCGCCGTGGGCGCTTATTAGAGCGGGGCGCTTATTACGTCGAATACGGTAAATCATATTTCACATTGTATGGGATAACATGCTTGATAAGAAGGGGCCCAAGGGGGCACCTTGGGGGTCACTGCTATATTGGGTAGTATTTTAAGGGCCCAATAAACCTAAATCTTAATTTTTTTTAACAGGGTTATGGTAAGGAGCTCAAGACAAAATAATTTTTAATGAAAGCTGTATCACAATCTGTCAGAAGCTACACCTCTAACACAGTCTGTCTGCTTGAACAGGAACATTTTTATGAAGCAGGTTTTAACGATCCTTTTCAACATTTCTCGCTGACTTGGTAAATGTCTTGGCTGAAATGAGTAAAGGTTTCGACATGACTGACATTAACAGTAGAGCACATGAACAGACATCTCTATCACACCTTTACCGGCCTGGCAAGAGCTGCAGGCTGCTTACTGCCACTATTAACACTGTATAGAACTGTTTAGGGGTGTCATTGAACTATCGATGGAGTGAGTGAGTGTGTGAGTGAATTTGTGAGTTTATCTACTAAATATTGATACATGAGGCTGCTAACTGCCATTACCATCACTGTATAGAACTGTTTAGGGGTGTCATTGAACTATCGATGGAGTGAGTGAGTGAGTGAATTTGTGAGTTTATCTACTAAATATTGATACATGAGGCTGCTAACTGCCATTACCATCACTGTATAGAACTGTTTAGGGGTGTCATTGCACTATCGATGGAGTGAGTGAGTGCATGAGTGCGTGAGTGAATTTGTGAGTTTATCTACTAAATATTGATACATGACATTCTTTAATAACAAAGTGTTGAAAGGTACAACTACTGGTAAGATGGCTATAAAGACACTTTGAGTGAGTGAGTGAGTGAGTGAGTGAGTGAGTGAGTGAGTGAGTGAGTGAGTGAGTGAGTGAGTGAGTGAGTGAGTGAGTGAGTGAGTGAGTGAACCTAGGTCTTTAGCATGGCCTAGTGGGCACATCAACCACGAAACTACCCCACAGCCCTATGAAAAGATATTAATAACTAATAATAGTTTCATAGATTATAGAACACTGATAATTAACACCTCTAACTATACACAAAATTAATCTTGCTATTTGTTCATCAAGACTACCTATTAAAATAGTCCAAATGAGATATCTTTTTCAACGGTTAAACATTAGACTACCTATTGCAATAGTCCAAATGAGATAACACGTAAGACTACCTATTGCAATAGTCCAAATGAGATAACACGTAAGACTACCTATTGAAATTAGTCCAAATGAGATATCTTTTTCAACAGTTAAACATTAGACTACCTATTGCAATAGTCCAAATGAGATAACACGTAAGACTACCTATTGCAATAGTCCAAATGAGATATCTTTTTCAACAGGTAAAACATAAGACTCCCTATTGCAATAGTCCACATGAGATAACACGTAAGACTACCTATTGCAATAGTCCAAATGAGATATCTTTTTCAACAGGTAAAACATAAGACTCCCTATTGCAATAGTTCAGATGAGATAACTTTTTCAAAATAAGTGTGACCACTATTCTTTTTTCACATGTCACAAGTCAGAAGTATATATTGGCATGTGTGCCTGTTGTTGCGAGGGCACCTGGTTAAATAGCAGTAGGTGTGAGATGTGTGCCCAGCAACGTGGAGCACCACTTGTCACGGTACAAGTCTCCTCTCCCATACTCTGCATGACGACCGTGTATATGATAAGTGTGTTTGGACAACCCACAGTCATAAAGGTCTTATAAAGGTCGGATATCGACTCAATCAACTAGTGGATACGACGTGCTTTCATCGGTTAAGTTTGTGTTACAGGTCTGTAATGTGGAACGTGTGGTTTCTGTAACATAGCTGGAGTTTGGGGGAAAACAATTAGCACATCTCGATTAGCACATAAGTCATAAAGGTCTTATAAAGGTCAGATATTGACTCAATCAACTAGTGGATACGACTTGCTTTCATCGGTTACACTTGTGATACAGGTCTGTAAATGTTTCGTTTGGAAAGTGAGGTTTCTGTAACATCGTTGGAGTTTGGGGGAAAACAATTAGCACATAAGTCATAAAGGTCTTATAAAGGTCAGATATCGACTCAATCAACTAGAGGATACGACTTGCTTTTATCGGTTACGTTTGTGTTACAGGTCTGTAACGTGGAACGTGTGGTTTCTGTAACATAGCTGGAGTTTGGGAGAAAACAATTAGCACATCTCGATTTCCACCAGTCTCCATTTAACTCTGAATCTCATCAATGTCAGGGCTTTAAATTACTAGTGCTGCCATGCCCACAGCACACATTAAATAGAAAATGGGATGCTCGAATTTTATGTACAGTTCCTTGTGGGCATGGTCCTTTCCAATAAAAGTATTTAGATTATTTTATATTTTATGTCTTGACTGAATTAAACTGTGAAATGACAGATTTCCCCCTATTTGTAGAAGTTTGTTCCTCTATCGCTAAATGACTTCCTGTTGGAAAATCAACCAGCATTATTTGTTGATTTCATTGACTGTATCTATAATACAGACGTTTGATGAGATGTTCATGACTGAACGTAATATATTTGAATGTTAACATGTCTTTCCTTATTTTGATGGAATATCATGAATACAACGTAGGTAAATTGTTTGATAGGCATAACTTAGAAGTTGATGGATGACAAGATAGACTCAGTCTTGCTTGACAACGGTATAAGGATTTATACCGAAACTTCGGTTTTTACAGTATTAAAGAAGTTGTTATCTATAAAACCATGTCTACCTTACAATGTAGTTGATGTGATTCAAATGGAAGTTAGTCGTATAGACCGTTTTGAAAAACCTAGCAGACGGTCACTATTTGTCAAAATGGAACAGTAAAAAAAGAAAAACTCCACTATATTTTATTACTTCAAGCCTCACTGCTGTAACTTTTAATAAAGTTTCAGCAGCAGGGTTAGAAACTAACAGTTTTTGTCCACTAGTCCTTATAGTGATATCATATAGCAAAACCTTTAAAATGGGCCAATTTCTACTAGTCCTTAGGATACCTTTACTATAGGGCAGTTTGGTAAGGACTACAGGACTAGTGCCAATTTCTAATGCTGAGCAGATGACGGAAACAGCCTATATCGCAGAGTGTTAGAGCCAAGTGTTAGAGAGTGTTGAAATTGAATCCCTGCAAATCTTGAATGTAGACACTTCTGACATGCGTGATCAGATGGTGATAGTACAGATGAACCACATCAAAATTATCTAAAAATAAATCAACACGAGGTATTCCCAGGAACTGACCTCTTCCAAAGGTTAAAATGTGATAAGGGTAAAAAATGAATATTCTGCATTTGCAAAGAGTGAGGTCAACCAGTTGGAAATAGATGTCTATATTTTCCTTCCAGAACCAGCAAACATGAAGCACATTTACAATACAGTGAACACTTTCTTTCTTTTGAGATATGATGACATGCATCAACTAAGCCACCATGCCTGGCCACCCGAAACTCTAAGTCACCTCTTTAGTCTTACAAAAAGCATTATGAGACATCTTCAACGTCAAGCATGGGTTGCTGAAGACATGTTCTTACCCGGATCTTCATGGGTACTTTGTAACGTCATTGTGTTCAATATGCAGTATTGACAAAACCAGGTAAATAGCAGTTGGAAAAAGGCTCTAATTTAGTGTATGTTTCACAGAGATCCAGATAACTTCTTGAGCAATTGAGTTTTTACTCTAGGGTTTTGATTTTAATTGGGTTATTACATTTTTCATTTGGTAACTAATATTTTTTCACTCATCTATTCATCACACTTTTGGGTTTTTCCTAAAATTAGTAAACATTTTAGGATTAAAAAAAAATGAAATTATGTTTTAGATGTATATAACTGTACATATATTGGCTTGACTCGGAAAGTGAATTAGCTCGTAATTGTGTTTCTGAAATTAGCTTCTTTGTACACATGCTGAAAAGCTTCATTGGGTATTTACACATGCTGTTTTTATACATTTGAGTTTTTCATTTAATGCATGCGTTTCTGTATGCAAGTTAATTGAAAGTAATTGGGTTTTGTATATTTTTGGGGGGTATTTTACGCAAATACGCTGCTTATCTGTAACTTTGGTTTCATGAAAATTATTTAATGTATATGTAAGCATGAGATCTAGCAAAGTTCTGCTGTATGTAAACAAGTTCAACAACAAATTGGCCTTTCATGACTGTCTTTATATAAGCATAAACAAAAATACAAATATTTCCTGGTACTCATTCAATATTGTTGGGGCTTTTTTACCTTCAAAACAAGGAAATCTTCAAAATAATTCACACAAAACACCAAATGAACAATAATCACATCACCTGACAAAACCCAGTCAGGCTACTGGTTCAGACAAACTGTCTAGCTACTGTGTCAGTGCGTACACAATCTTATGAGTTCCGTGAGTGAGAAGGAAACGCTTGTTCAAAGGATCCTTTTACAATTAGCCAGGCTCTCGTGGCTACTAAAGTCATATTAATACTTTCTTTGATCTATCCTTTAAATCTAAATCATGTACACAGAAGCAGCCATAAGGTAGCTGTTCTGTACGAGCTGGTGAGTTGCCACTTTACCATGCAGCAAGGCCAAGATGTTAACACGCTTTACATTAAGACGGCCATCTCGTCTCAGAGCATATACTTAATAAAACATTCAACCCCATTCCATTCTCGTTCTCTTCTTAGCACTTAGTAGCAGCCTATAATTCACCCTCTCAGATCTAGCAGCCTGTTACTCATCCCCTCCCAGCTCTCCAAGTCATTCCTTATCCCCTTTTCAGCTTTAAGCAGCCAAAAACTCATCCCCTCCTCAGCTCTAGTAGCCAATACTCATCCCCTTTTCAGCTCTAGCAGCCTATACTCATCCCCTCCTCAGCTCTAGTAGCCAATACTCATCCCCTTCTCAGCTACAGCAGCCTATACTCATCCCCTCCTCAGCTCTAGCAGCCTATACTCATCCCCTCCTCAGCTCTAGCAGCCTATACTCATTCCCTACTCAGCTCTAGCAGCCTACACTCATCCCCTCCTCAGCTCTAGCAGCCTATACTCATTCCCTACTCAGCTCTAGCAGCCTACACTCATCCCCTCCTCAGCTCTAGCAGCCTATACTCATTCCCTACTCAGCTCTAGCAGCCTACACTCATCCCCTCCTCAGCTCTAGCAGCCTATACTCATCCCCTCCTCAGCTCTAGTAGCCTATACTCATCCCCTTTTCAGCTCTAGCAGCCTATACTCATCCCCTCCTCAGCTCTAGCAGCCTACACTCATCCCCTCCTCAGCTCTAGCAGCCTATACTCATCCCCTCTTCAGCTCTAGCAGCCTATACTCATCCCCTTCTCAGCTCTAGCAGCCTATACTCATCCCCTTTTCAGCTCTAGCAACCTATATTCATCCCCACTTCAGCTCTAGCAGCCTATACTCATCCACCTATCAGCTCTATAGTAGCCTATGCTCATTCCCACTTCGGCTCTAGCAGCCTATACTCATCCACCTATAAGCTCTAGCAGCCTATACTCATCCCCTTCTCAGCTCTATCAGCATTTACTCATCCCCTTCTCAGCTCTATCAGCCTATACTCATCCCCCTCTCAGCTCTAGCAGCCTATACTGATCCCCCTCTCAGCTCTAGCAGCCAATACTCATCCCCCTCTCAGCTCTAGCAGCCAATACTCATCCCCCTCTCAGCTCTAGCAGCCTATACTCATCCCCCTCTCAGCTCTAGCAGCCAATACTCATCCCCCTCTCAGCTCTAGCAGCCTATACTCATCCCCCTCTCAGCTCTAGCAGCCAATACTCATCCCCCTCTCAGCTCTAGCAGCCTATACTCATCCTCCTCTCAGCTCTAGCAGCCTATACTCATCCCTTCTCAGCTCTAGCAGCCTATAACCATCCCCTTCTCAGCTCTAGCAGCCTATACTGATCCCCCTCTCAGCTCTAGCAGCCTATAACAATTATAACAATTTTAAAGAAATGTTTCCATAGACTAAGTATTTGTGTAATGTTAGCCTACTGACTATGAACCCTGTTGACCATCCTCCATGAAACAATGCGGGGGCAGCCAGGGCTAGTCAGTGGGCTGGTCCGAGTTTGTAGGCCAGGGGTCAGTGTGGTGCTGCCTCTCACAGGTAACAAGTGTGTACATCACCGGGCTTCACGTTGGCACTCCTGACCTTGTCTGATGGTGATGAAGTGTGTAGGTCGAGGTGAGGTGAGGTGAAATGGGGTTTAACGTCGCGTCCAAGATTATTGCACTTATACAGCGACATGCAGGCACGTGTATGTGTGTGTGTGGCTGCTTGTACTAGTCCGGACTGATGCCGATTTATAGTGCTAGCACACTGAGATACCATGCCGCAGTTTAACATGAATACCCCACTCAGACACAGTATACTGACTCCGAGCCGACCAGTCCTTGTTTTAGCCCCTTAATGCCGAGCGCCAGACAGGGTAACAACAAGTACCATCTTTTAACGTCTTTTGGTATGACGCGGCTGGGGATCGAACCCCGGACCTTCCGCTCTCCGGGCGGACACTCTACCACTAGACCACGGAGGGGGTCTTTTAGGTCAAGGACCATCAGTGTGGGAGGCCATGATATACAAACCACTCACATGTAACGCACAACCATCCATCATTGTAGTGTAGCAAAGACTACTGTTGTATCGTCCTACGCCACTTCCTGCTGGTGTGCAGGGTCAGGTTGACACACACACACATACTCCTTCACTTTCACCCTGACTATTACCTGTGACCACTCGCTGTGTTCTGATTAATAGAAATAATCGAAGGGGTCTGACTGTTTGTTTGTTGTTTAACGCTGGACTTAGCAACATTCCAGACAAACCAATCATCAGAGAGATATTGTGAGCAATGACCCACACACGATGACACCAAGGTTGGTTGGTTGTTAAACGCCGCACTCAGCAATATTCCAGCTATATGACGGCAGTCTGTAAATTATCGAGTCTGGACCAGACAATCCAGTGATTGATATCATGAGCATTGATCCATGCAATTTGGATCGATGACATGTATCAACCAAGTCAGAGAGCCTGACCACCCGATCCTGTTAGTCGCCTTTTACGACAAGCATAGTCACCTTTTACGGCAAGCATGGGTTGCTGAAGACCTATTCTACCCCGGAATTTTCACAGGGCTGATGAAACCAAGACTGGCCGTTAGACAAGCATCTACTCCCTGGGGACCATTCTAACCCTGGAGCCTCACCATGCTCCCAGGAGCAAAAGAGGCCTCATAATGAAATCTGATCTCTAAATAAACGTGTGCTATACTATTGTTTGCTTTTTGTTTAAAGCCTCCTCAGTATTCCAGCTATATGACAGCGGTCTGAAAAATAATCGAGTCTGGTCCAGACAATCCAGTGATTGACATCCACGCAATTGGGATCGATGACATTCATCAACCAAGTCAGCAAGCCTGACCACCCAATCCCGTAAGTCACCTTTTACAACAAGCATATATAGTTCCCTCGATGTGTAGTAATTCTATCCTCCTATGAGGCAAGTCTAGATATGTGGACAGTCAAAAGACTCCAGTCTCTTAAAGGGACAACTTGTGCTTATTATTTACACAATCTAAAAATTATGATTTAAACTAATAATTATTGCCTTAGAGACTTGTGCAAGTCAAATTGGGTAATTACACGGAGTGCTGTCAAACTTCCGGGTTCTTAAAAGAAATTCATCTCTGTACACGTCACAAGCAAATCAAGTGAGTGAGTAAGTGAGTTAAGTTTAACGCCGCTTTTAACAGTATTCCAGTTATATCATGGCGTGTCAGCTTAATGTGGGAGAAAAGCCTGAAGTGATGCAGGTCTCAGATGTTCACCACTTCGGTGAAACCCACGAGCACAGGTATGGTTCTGACAAACCTAGAAACATAATCAGGGTGAACCTGGATTCAAACCCACAATTTTTTTAACTGGAGCTCGATATAAAGTCTGTATGAAACCATCTTACCGTAAATCACAACTTGGGACCAGAATATTCAGCTCACTTCCCTTATATAACACATGAAGGATGCATGTGTGTTACTTGTAAAAGGTCTGACCAGGACAGGTTTGCTGCCATCCGTCCGTCCTTGTGTTCACTGCGATGCAGGAATAGTATTACAGGAAGTTGAGAGTTTCAATTAGTGTAACAGAGAGTCATGTAAAAGTCTCATCTCATGTTTGTATAAATTTACATGTGCATATGTGGTCTGACTAATAGCACATGTTAACCGCGGCAACAAACAGTGATAATTGCATTCAACCAATGGATTCACCATGTCTCCCTGAAAGCATTGCTTCCTCATATTCCCTGGACACGTAGTACTGTCCACACTGTCTGACCACAATGGCCTGGGGTTTCAATACTCCTATTATAAATGGGAACTCTGTACCTTGGCAAGACCACGTAAATATATAATTGTTTCTCTTGACCTTTTGAGATAGGATTTTTTTATATCTTATTTCTTGGGTGGGTTACATTGATCATTAAAAGTAAACTTGATTCTAATGTGCCATGTGATCTATTTGACACGCCCCTTGTGGCCCAATATAATTAAGTGAGTGAGTTGGGTTTAAAGCCGCTTTTAACAGTATTCCAATTATATCACGGCGTGTCAGCTTAATGTGGGAGGAAAGCCCAAAGTGATGCAGGTCTCAGACGTTTACCACTTCGGTGAAACCCACGAGCACGGGTATGGTGCTGACAAATCTAGACACATAATTGGGGCGAACCGGGATTAGAACCTACAAATATAGGTTTCTGGCATGCCCAAGGGACGCAACTCTTTGACCATTTTGCGCTCAACTTAGTTCGAAGGAAGGATAGATGTAAAGATAGTAAATACAAATGGTGACAAAGTCATTGCTTAACATAGACCTGCTCATAGATTACTTTGTGCTGAAAATTCTGTAACTTTTCAAGCCATGTAAGCTGGTAAGCCATCACCATGACTCAAAATAATCAAAGTGACTCACAAAACAGTTCAGTGGCATGAACCCAGGTCTTCGGCGTGACGAGCGAATGTTTTAACCACTCGGCTGCCCCTAATCAGATGACCCACTGATTTCAAAGACAAGGAAATAAAAGTCGTGGTCACACCTTGACCTGCCTTGACTCAGACAACATCAACCAACACTATCTTGACAACAGGCCAATCCTCAAGTGTTCATGGTCCCCCAGACTGACATGCACAAGAAACACATATTTCCCCATGTCATGGTCACCTGGCGTTAACTCATACCTCTCATCACTAATGAAAGGTGTGTTGGCAAAAACACGTCCCACACCTCGATCCTTGAGGAATGTCATGCCAACTCACTTTGTCAATTGTCCTCCACTACATTTTTCTCAGACAGATTCCGGGTTAGAGCTCACCGGGACTTCAGCCACCCGTGCAATAGGTTGGTTGGTTTGTTGTTTTACGCCGCACTCAGCAATATTCCAGCTATATGACGGCGGTCTGTAAATAATCGAGTCTGGACCAGACAATCTTGTGATTGACATCATGAGCATCAATCCACGCAATTGGGATAGATGACATGCATCAACGAAGTCAGCAAGCCTGACCACCCGATCCCATTAGTCACCTCTTACAACAAGCATAGTCGCCTTTTATGGCAAGCATGGGTTGCTGAACACCTATTATACCCCGGATCTTCACGGGTCAGATTGACATGCACAAGAAACATATATTTCCCCATGTCATGGTCATCTGGTGTTAACTCATACCTCTCATCACTAACGACAGGTGTGTTGCCAATAACACGTCCCACACCTCAATCCTTGAGGAATGTCATGCTAACTCACTTTGTCAATTGTCCTCCACTACATTTTTCTCAGACAGATTCCGGGTTAAAACTCACCGGGACTTCAGCCACCCGTGCAATTAACAATGTAAGAGGCAACAAAGGGTATCGGCTGGTCAGATTCACTGACTTGGTTGATGCATGTTATCCAATTGAATGATCAATGCATGTGATGTCAATCACTGGATTGTCGGGTCCAGATTTGATTATTTACAGACCGCTGTCTGCTATTCCTAGAATATAGCCGAGTGTGGCGGTAAACAACAAACGAAAAACCTGCTGCACAAATTTCTTGATGTGTTGCTTCAACGGAAAGATTAATTATTTTGAGCCCAGAACAGGAAACAGTGAAAAAACATGTCATCCTCTAGTAAGAAATACACAAAACTCCATCACAAGTCCTGCGGTTTCAACATTTCCTTGTGCAGCAGCTGCAGAAAAATGACATCCTGTTGCTAACAATAGATAACACACAAGTTGTGCTATTTTCCTTCTGCAAATGGAACTCTAAATGGCTTAAACATGATTGAAATAATGTTTAACTTAAAAAATATGAAGAATTATATGTGTACTCCATATATTATTGCATACTGCCATAAGTCGATATCACCACCATGATAACATACAGTATGGTTGATTATTAAGTTGGTATGAGGAAGTTAATTGTGAGGCTGTTTTTCAATCCAAAAACAAGTTATTCTCACTTATTTTAAAGAACCTTAATCAACCTGTCATTTAAAACATCATCAATTATCCTTATCAAACATCTTCATTATAACTTTTTACTTTTCTCCATCTACAGGTTGTGTAATAATGACCATGGTTTGTTCTGTAATATATGCCTGAAAAAATGGCAGTGTAAGTCGGCCAATGCAAAGTTAAGACTAGCAGCCATCATCATCATCATCATCATCATCATCAGAACAACCACCACCACCACTTGTAAAGATCATCACTTGTAATGATTAACACTTGCAACGATCAGCACTTGTAACGATCAACATCATCATCATCATCATCATCATCATCATCATCATCATCACTATCACTTGTAGGGATCATCACTTATAACGATCAACACTTGTAACAATCATCATCATCACCATCATCATCATCATCGTCATCATCATCAGAACAACCACCACCACCACTTGTAAAGATCATCACTTGTAATGATTAACACTTGCAACGATCAGCACTTGTAACGATCAACGTCATCATCATCATCATCATCATCATCATCACTATCACTTGTAGGGATCATCACTTATAACGATCAACACTTGTAACGATCATCATCGTCATCATCATCAGAACAACCACCACCACCACTTGTAAAGATCATCACTTGTAATGATTAACACTTGCAACGATCAGCACTTGTAACGATCAACATCATCATCATCATCATCATCATCATCACTTGTAGGGATCATCACTTATAACGATCAACACTTGTAACGATCATCATCATCACCATCATCATCGTCGTCATCATCATCAGAACAACCAACACCACCACTTGTAAAGATCATCACTTGTAATGATTAACACTTGCAACGATCAGCACTTGTAACGATCAACATCATCATCATCATCATCATCACTATCACTTGTAGGGATCATCACTTATAACGATCAACACTTGTAACGATCATCATCATCATCATCATCATCATCATCAACCACATCAACCTATCCTATTATGAGGTGAGGTATTATGAAAACTGTCCCAACTTCCCCACAGCGTGATCTGCGAGGAATGTGTTGTCTATTAACCAACAAGGAACGCTTGGCACTTTTTACAATACAAGAACACACTAGCCCGCTGCTCCAATCTGATGAGTGTGACGTGCCAACAATCGACACCCTCGTGTGGGAACACTACATCCCGAGACATTGTTTATTTGAGGACCTGAAGAGAACCTCTGGGCTGCCGTCAGCCGGTCACCCCATGTCCCAATACCCAGCCTTGTCGTTGAGGCGGCCGGCCGTCTTGGGAAGGCTAGACCTACCACAAACACAATAGAAATTGCAGAGTCTAGTTTCTGACTTTGAAAATATTTGAAATGTGAGCACTTTTTTTCTGTTTGTGTGGGAGGAGTTTAAGTGTTAGAAATGAAGGGGGGTCTGAATTTAACGACAGACTAAGAATATACAAATGTTAAAGTTTCAGGGTTTAAATGCATGAAATTAGATAAAAGAATATATATACTGAACAATAAATGCTGGATCATGAATATATTAGTGATATTTCTTTTGCTGTGGAGACGAAGCAAATAATTTCATAAATATATCCCCAACATTTTTTGCTCAGTATATGTCAATTTTAAGCCATCAGAAGAAAAGTGATTATACTATCTGTCCTTAATTAATTACAGGTCTTAATTGATAAATAGCAAATTTTAGCCAAATATCGTTATTTTCAATAATTTAGCAGTCACATTTAAAGCAAATGACTCCCCTAGTCATATAATAATTGACACCAATTCAAGTTATGCACTTATAATGATAATAAACATGATAAATGAACCTTAATCCCATATATATTCACCATTTATAGAATATTTATAATTTATAGCATTATGACAAAATATGCAGTCAGTTACACATAACCTTTTCATTATCGCCACAATGCTGGACCTGGGTAAAGTATTTCCTCATACCGACAAAAGTTAACATGCAGTGTCTCTCTTGCCTGTTTAAACACCCTGTCACATGACTGATTAAAAAGATCCTTCGCGAACGTTAATGGCGTGTGGCAGTTCTGTTTGGTCTCAGACAGGATAAACAGATTAAGATGCTGACAAAGGTTTAACAAAACGGTTTACAAAACGGTTTTAGGGATTAGCCACTGGCATCAATTAAAGGGCACTATACAAGTAACAGCCTCTTCAGAGACATATTTGGAATGGTTATGAAAAGCCTTTGACATTTTATTTTTTATTAATGCATATTTGTCTGTCTGAATGTCAGGAGATGTTTTCATTGCTATACTATCATGATAACCGTAAGTTAAGCATGCATCAGGTCAGACAGTGGGCATGTCAGGTCTGGGCCCTGTAAATTAGGGCTGTGCATTGACCTGGATCTTGTATTGCAATATATTACGATACGTAGTGAAATATATTGCCAATTTACATTTTCATCAGTTAATCAGAGTTATACCCTGTATTAACGTCAACCACACTGTATGGTCGGAGTCCTTTCACGATAAATCGTGCGACTTTGTCTTTTATTGGTTGGTGACGATGCGAATTGTTCGGATAAGTTGTTGATGCTATAAACATGT